TATTAGCACCAGCTTGGAGAAGCAAGGAACAGGTGTCTCTCCCACAGATTTTCCCTGAGGCTTTTCTGCTAGTAACTACATTTCCATTAGCGATTCTTTTCAAAGCCTTCAAAACAGAACTAATTCAGTTACTCACTGCTTAAAGTTTAACTAATGCCACAGATACTACACCTTGAGTTGGTAGTGTGTCTTAGAGGCTTTCTTGCCTTTAATAGTTTCTTTTCCCCAATATATCCTTATGGCACATAGGACTCATCACTCTTGAAGATCTCAAAATTCCTTGAAACAGTAAATTAGGGAGGAGAGAGTGGGGCTTCTAACACCAACTTCCAACCTCGACTCTGACTTCCAGCAGAGAAAACAAAGATGCCAAGAAGCGGGGAGACCCATCCACCCTTGTCCTCCCACCCTGCCCCCACCCCGGTCTAGTAATATAAAAGATTTGCGTTTAAAAAAAAAAATCACTTTACTAATTTACTATTTACTCTGGTTTTAATCTTCTGCTATTTGATTAACTTAATCTTATTTTCCTCCAGAGGCTATTGCTAAAGTGATTTCCTTCTACTGATGTGGGTTAAGCTCTGTATTGATTGTAAATACGTTCCCTGTTTTTTGCCTCCTCAGCGGTTTTGCAAAGGGTACAATGAAAAACAGAAGTGCATTTTTTTTTACTATTCAACTGACTGTGAAGCTCATATTCTGTATTGATCTGCTGTTACTCAAAATTCCTTTTTTCCCTTCCCCCACTTGTTTCCCACTCCCTTCTCCTTTGATTTGTGGTTGGGAAGGTTTTGTTTCAGTGTAAACTTGGATTTTTCACCTGGTTGCCAGGCTACAGAAGCCACCCGAGTCGGGAGGCACACAAATGTTAAATTGTCCCCAGCCACCTCTCGAGGCTGGGCCTGTCAAAACTCCAGTGTGTGTACGGGTCACACGGAAGAACTGGTTAAAAATGCGGCGGAGACAAACCTGAATCCCCAGCGAGCACTAATGAGCAGGTGTGGGGAGAGGGCAAGGATTTGGCTTTTAAAACCAGTGGCCCCTGTGATGGCAGGTGGTCTGGGAAACCCAGCACCTAAGTGTCAAACGGCAAACAGCAACAAGATGAGGCTGTTTTGAGTTTCAATAAGGAAAAAGGACTGGGACTTGCCTGGTGGTCCAGTGGTTAGGAATCCGCCTGACGCTGCAGGAGACACGGGTTCAATCCCTATTCCAGGAAGATCCCACATGCCATGGAGCAGCTAAGCCTGTGTGCCACGACTACTGAGCCTGTACTCTGGAGCCCTCGAGCTGCAACCACTGAAGCCCACGTGCCCTAGAGCCCCGCGCTCTGCAACAAGAGAAGCCTCCACAATGAGAAGCCCGCACACCACAACTAGAGAGGAGTCCCTGCTCGCTGCAAAGAGAGAAAGCCCACACACAGCAATGAAGACCTAGCACAGCAATAAATAAATACATACATACAGAAAAGCAATGAGAAAGTTGGAAGGGACCAGAGCTAGTTTACTCATGTATAGGACTATTCCGTTCTGTCCTGTTCTATTCCATTCCATGCCGTTATATTCTCTGTGTGTTGTATATATTAACTCATTTAATCCTATTGCAAGGCAATGAAGTCAAAATCATCACAACCTATTTTACAGTGAAGAAATGAAGGCACAGAGAGGTTAGGCAACTTATCTAAAGTTGCACAGCTCAGAAGTAGAGGAGCCGGGATTTGAACTGTGATAGTCTCTTAGCAGCACTGTGTCAACTGGAAAAAAAAAAAGGCACAACGTAAAAGATTGCCAGGAGAAATATCAATAACCTCAGATATGCAGATGACACCACCCTTATGGCAGAAACTGAAGAAGAACTAAAGAGCCTCTTGATGAAAGTGAAAGAGGAGAGTGGCTTAAAGCTCAACATTCAGAAAACTAAGATCATGGCATCTGGTTCCATCACTTCATGGCAAATAGATGGGAAACAGTGGAAACAGTAGCTGAATTTATTTTTTTGGGCTCCAAAAATGACTGTAGACGGTGACTGCAGCCATGAAATTAAAAGACCCTTACTCCTTGGCAGGAAAGTTATCACCAACCTAGACAGCATATTAAAAAGCAGAGACATTACTTTGCCAACAAATGTCTGTCTAGTCAAGGCTATGGTTTTTCTAGTAGTCACGTATGGATGTGAGAGTTGGACTATAAAGAAAGCTGAGCGCAGAAGAATTGATGCTTTTGAACTGTGGTGTTGGAGAAGACTCTTGAGGGTCCCTTGGACTGCAAGGAGATCTAACCAGTCCATCCTAAAGGAGATCAGTCCTGGGTGTTCATTGGATGGACTGATGTTGAAGCTGAAACTCCAATAATTTGGCCACTTGATATGAAGGGCTGACATTTGAAAAAACTCTGATGCTGGGAAAGATTGAGGGCAGGAGGAAAAGGGGACGACAGAGGATGAGATGGTTGGATGGCATCACCGACTCAATGGACATGAATTTCGGTAAACTCTGGGAGCTGGTGAAGGACAGGGAGGCCTGGCGTGCTGCAGTTCATGGGGTCGCAAAGAGTCGGACATGACTGAGCAACTGAACTGAACTGAAAAGTTAAGAATTATGTTTTATGTGGGACCTTGCTGAGAATTCTAGCCTGGGAAAGGCAACATCTCAGATTGGTCTGAGGAATTGTTCCAGAGAAGAAAGATGTAGGGGTATGTAGGCATTTTTGCTGAAGACAAATGGACATGAAGTCGAACATCAAAAGATTACTGCTAGTCACACACATGCACAAAACCCAAGCCCTCTCAAGTTAATGATCTTAGTGCTGTTCTATGCATGGGAAGATGTAAGAGTCTAGGTGCATTGGAATTATTCCTTGAATATGTACCTTTTAACTATCCAGGGCCAGCACCCTGTTTTTCTCCATCCTGACTCCCCATCTGGGTACACTGAAGGGGAGGGGTGGGTTGTCCAGTTGTTTATACAGGAATGGCAGGAACATTCTTTGTTTACTGAAATGGCAGGCAGCTTTTTTTTTTTTTTGGTCTGAAACCAGGTGGTGGTTAAAAATGCAGATTCTCAAGCCGGATGGTCTGGGCTCAAACTCCATTTCTATTTTTTTTTTCCATTTATTTTTATTAGTTGGAGGCTAATTACTTTACATCATTGCAGTGGTTTTTGTCATACATTGAAATGAATTAGCCATGGATTTACATGTATTCCCCATCCCGGTCCCCCCTCCCACCTCCCTCTCCACTCGATCCCTCTGGGTCTTCCCAGTGCGCTAGGCCCGAGCACTTGTCTCCTGCACCCAACCTCGGCTGGTGATCTGTTTCACCCTAGATAATATACATGTTTTGATGCTGTTCTCTTGAAACATCCTACCCTCGCCTTCTCCCAGAGTTCACAAGTCTGTTCTATACATCTGAGTCTCTTTTTCTGTTTTGCATATAGGGTTATCGTTACCATCTTTCTAAATTCCATATATATGTGTTAGTATACTGTAATGGTCTTTATCTTTCTGGCTTACTTCGCTCTGTATAATGGGATCCAGTTTCATCCATCTCATTAGAACTGATTCAAATGAATTCTTTTTAATGGCTGAGTCCATTTCTAATACTGGCTGTGTTGACTGGTTGAGCTGCTTTCGCCTTGAAAGTGAAAGTGTTAGTTACTCAGTCATGTCCAACTTTTTGTGAATCCATGGACTGCAGCCGCCAGGCTTCTCTCTCCATGGAATTCTCCAGGCAAGAATACTGGAGTGGGTAGCCATTCCCATCTCCAGGGGACCTTCCTGACCCAGGGTTTGAACCTGGGCCTCCAGGTTCAATTGCAGGCAGAGTCTTTACCATTTGAGCCACCAGGAAAGCCCCAAGCTCTTGCCTTAGTTTCCCAAGTTTTAAGCTGTGGAGAGCAATGGTAACATGTCAGAGTATTCTGGTAAAGACTGGCATTTGATAACTGTTAGCCATTATTTTAATTCATTTCTGAAGGGCAGTGTGGATTGAGTGCTGACTTTCTGCTTCCTCGCTGATCAGCATCTCCTGTTTGAACTTGGCCCTGAGGCTCAGGGATGGGGCATAAGAGTCAGGAACAGTGTGAAGGGTATCATTGCTGTTGGATAAATAACTTTGTAATTTAAAAGGTTGAGTATCTAATAGCTTGTGCTTTTTGACTGGGAAATAGGTGTGAAGGTCAAACTGGCCACAGCATCTAAATGGCCATGTTCAAAAGGGCTTGATAAAGGCCACCCTTCACTTGATCTTTTCATATTAGCCCTTCTGTCAGGGTATTTGGGATCGCTTCATCTGTCCTTTAAATGCTTTTTTTTTTTTTTTGATGTGGACCATTTTTAAAGTCTTTACTGAATTTGTTACAATATTGTTTCTATCTTTTGGTTTTTTGGCCAAGAGGCATGTAGGATCTTAGCTCCCAGACTAGGGATCGAACCCACATCCCCTGCATTGGAAGGCAAGTCTTAACCACTGGACTGCTGGGGATGTCCCCTTTTATTGCTTTGGAAGTCTCTTCCTTTTGGAATAGAGTCTGAAGTCAGCTGGGAATTAGGTTCAGGGAGAGAGGACTGAGGGAGAAGGCGGTACTCTCCCTTTGGGGTCCTTTCTAGGGATGCAGCCGTGATGGGGCAAAGGTGTCGGGAGGAGGGTGGATAGGACACTGAGAACTGCCCTCCAGATCCATGTCAGGAGTCCACAGCTCTTCCTCTGGACCCTGAGAACACCCTCCTGCCCTTGGGGGATGGCTTCAGCTGCAGAGCGCCAGGGCTTCTTGTCCTACACTGGGGACAGCCCTGCAAGGCCATCTTCAGAATTCCCGGCAGGGTTGGTGGAAGTTTCTGTTGAGACGTGGCAGCTCAGGTTCCCTCCCCACCCTATCCCCACCCATCAGCCTCCTGCCACCTCTATCTCGGACTGGGCTTCTTGGGGGCACCCAGCCAGCTGCATGTAGTAAGCAAAAGACGTGAGAAATCCTAGGCCAGTCAAACAAAAGGCCACAGACAGTTGAGTTGAGTCCACTTTTTAATATTTTGACCATGATGCAAACAGGCATAAATAGACTTTTGTTGAATTTCATCAAATTAGAAGAGTGATACAGAAGAGCATGCGGCGAGCACAGCCTGGACAACCTTGCAGAGCGCGTTCTGGGAAGGTGCTGGAGCGCACGGGACACTTGGCGGCGTTAGCAGCATCGAGAGCTCAGAGGTAGGGGGAGGTCCGAGTTTCTGACGGTGCAGTGTGGTGAGAGGCAACGACACCCACTCGGCCCACCTCCCTGGCTCCCCAGACCCGGAACAGAAACCCACCACCTGCCCAGCGACACAGGGCGACCCCCACCCACAAACCCATCCGGCGCCGCCTGGAAAAACACTGCTGAGCCCGGAGGGGGCCTTACAATCACAACGACAACATAAGAGCAAGGACAGGAGGGTGGAGGCGGGGCGGGGGTGGGCACAGGAGGGCACTGGGCCTCCGTGAGTCTTCATCCGAACTGGACGCCAAGGGCACAGCATCTTACTGAATCGGGGCGGCCATCTTTCTGTCCTGGGAGGGAGTTGGTGAAACTATACCTTTCCATTTCCTCTTGAAATCCTTTGAGTCTCCGTGGGGCAGCAGATAATGGAAGGAAAACCAGTGGGCTGAGAAATGCCTCGCTTATTCCAGGAGGTGGATGGTAAGAAGGCCTGGGGCAGCTGGTAGAGAGTCTGTTGTCCCCAGGCTTCATCTGGCAAGGTCTGAAGACACAGTTGGTTGTCACAACTTTCGGGGGGGGGGGTCAGGTGGGTGGGTGGGTGGAGGCCAGGGATGCTGGTCAACATCCTACAAAGCCCTAGGCAGCCCCCCACCCAAAGAATTATCCAGCCCCAAATGCCAACAGTACTGAGGTTGACGGACTCCAGACTAGAGCCTCTGAGCATCTCCTAGGAGCCAAGTCTGGGCACTTAGATGTCCTGGAGCCAATTTCTAGAAGAGTTTGGAAAGCTGTATCTTCAGGCAGATCTGTTCCCGTCTGCCAGGGCCACCTGCTTAAGAACGGTCTCTGCTTGGGACCAGACACGCATGCCCTGCTTGCTCAGATATTCTAGGAAATAGCGAATTCAGAAACATGCCGAGGTGTGTTTACTCCCAATCACCTCTCGTGCACACGGCTCAGACAGTATTAATAGAGAGCAGACCCCCAAACAGTTCCTGCTTTCCTGGCATGAGAGTTTACCCGAGTACTTGCACCCGAGACACATCAGCGTGTTTGTGCCACCAGGCAGAGACTGGCAGGTGGGCCAAGGTCCAGGAGGGTGTGGGAGAAAGAGGAGAGGCCAGGCTGCTGTTAGTCCGCCAAGGCTTCAGGTTTGTGGGGACCATCTGTGTTGAGTCCCTAGGGAGGGGGCAAGGTTGCTTTCACAGCCGCTCAGATTCTTTATCCTCCGTCCCTGCTTTTGGCCTTTCATTCTTGAGTCGAATGGCACGCTCAGAGGCAGGAGAGGGCTGGGAGAAGACAGGGAGTGTGGGCAGGTCCCAAGGGAAGCCCAGATTAATATTTCTTTTTCCTTGTCTCTGGCAGGTGGTCTCAGATTAACGTGCCTATTCAGACAGCAGGCTTCGAGGGTAAGGCAGGCACAGTGCCATGCTGGATATTGGTAGCAGGGGCGATGGACATATACAAGGAAACATGGCCAGCCTAAGATCTGAAGTCCTTGCTTTTCCAAATGGCATGAATTAAAAGGGACCAGGGTCATAGCGGTCAGGGGTCCAGACATTGGCTTGCCGATAATCATTCTGGCACCGTGATCTGGGTCAGAGAATCTTGCTTGTGGCAAACCTGACTTAGGGCAAAACCTGACCTCCTTTTGGAAGCCCCAAGCAGGTGGCTGCAAAGAGTGTGTTTGGCAAGAAATTCCTGTGTTCTTGGGCCGATGTCTGGTGGCCTGGGGTCAGTCCTCTTTCTGCCCATCTAGGCGTGGACCTTGGAAGGATCCACCCTTTTGACTTGGGGGCAACCTGGCACTCCTGTCCACTCTGAAAACTCGGTTCTCCTTGGAGCCTGTTTTTTCCTCCTGAGACCTGCTTCTCAGCCTAGAGGCAGACTCTTGACTTTCCCTTTGTTCTCCTTGTCCACAACAGGTCAGAGTCCAGGTCCTGGTAATTCAACCCCTGGAATGTCTTTATCACCATAATCTGCCCCCTTCCCTCATTCAAGTCTTGGGTTTCTGCAATAACTAGCCGATAGTTCAACAGGTCAGCAGTCCATGCTCTATGCTGTAGCCAGAACATTCTTTTCCAAGCAAAACCCCCATCACCTCATCTTCCCCTTAAAAAAAAACACTCCTAAGGACTCCGTGTTGCCTACCAAATAAAGTCAAAATCCCTTGACAAAATTCCATCTGTTCCCTGCCTGTCTCTGCTGCGTACCTCCATCTTCCTCAGCCTCTCAAAGCTGGGCTGTGTCAGAAGCCAGACCTGATCCGTTCTGCATGCTCTCCATCCATGTATCACCCACCCCCCACCTGCCTCCACTGAACTCCTACATCCTGGCAATCTCGTTTGCCCAAACCTGCCAGGGGAATCCTGGCGATCGCTCAAACCCCAGACCTGCACATTGATTCTACGACCTGCGTCTCTGCACCACAGATCCTAACCTTCTGTAAGAGAGGAACTGTGTTTTGCTGTGTGTACTTAACTGTGCCTTCCAGATACCGGAGAGGTAAGACGACACAGATTAAGTGAAACAAAATTCGATCACTTATCATGGGCCAAGTATGGTAACTGGGGCATTTTGTGGACATTATCTCATCTAGTCCACTTTATGATAAAGGGAGACATATAGACTCAGAAGGATTAGGTCACCAGGTCAGGGCTGTCCACAGAAATGGTGGCAGAGTTACTGTTTGGACTCAGGACTGCTTTTAAAACTCCACTTTGGTGGGTCTGAAGCATTGCCCCCAAAGCAGAGACACCTGCCTGTCTCACTCTGTAGAAGCCAAGGGGAAGCCTGTATCCTCTTTGGGAGGTTAAAGACTTCTGCTTCTTTTGCAGCACGACCATAGGAATAGGATTCACAATGACAACCAGAGAGCATGACTGTTCCACTTCCCGGTGGCAGGGGATTTCATGTCCCTCCAGGCCAAACTTCACTTTTTGTTAAATGGAGTTGGAGCTATTGCTGGCCAGCTCGAGAGGTAGAGGGAAATAAGAGACCTGCAACTAGGGTGAAGCTCCCCCCGGCCAAATCAAACGCCCAGTCAACCCCATTTTTGCTCACCAATTGGGAACACCAAAATTTGCAGGCTGCTGAGACTGAACTACACAGCACCACAAGAGGGCAGTGTTTAGCTACTGTGGATCAGAGCTGAGCCTGAAAGCGGGGCTCCACTCCTGCCTCTTGATGGCTCATTCATTACAGAGAGGCTTTGGGTATCAGAGATTCTGTCAAATAAGAGACACGCATCAGACTAATCTCCTGTTCTCTAGCCAGCAGTTATGAATCAGCTTGTGTTAAGGGTTGAAAGGTACTTGCTTAAAAACCAAACCAAACAATCGTTCTTGGGAAGAAAGATGAATCCTGGTGATATGATTATTTCTTTAGACTACCTGATAAAACAAGACACTATTTTCCTCGGTCTGCCTGCTACTAGATGGGCAGGGCTATATGAGGAAGGTGCCTGGCATGGAATAAGTGCTCTTGAGTATTTACCTGGCGATGGAAAAGCATTCATGCATAAAACTTGATTTGGAAAGGGGAGCACTGGTTCATTTCTCTGTGATGGGGGTCGGACACAGCAGTTCAGTCCCCCAGAAGCTAGTGACATCTTAGGAGCTATCTCCAAAGGGCTCAAACGGCTGGAAAGAAAGCTGCTGGGAGGAGAGCTCCTAGCCAGGATCGTGTTTGCAGGAAAGAAAGGGTTTAGAATGGGCTTCCCTCCAGGTCAGAGAGGGTCAGCCGAGCATGCTGAGCACTTGGTCTCTGTACCATGGAAGGCTGAGCGGGAGAAAATAGGATTAAAGGCAGGCAGGGTAATCAGAACTGGCATGAAGTCGAACTCAAAGCGCCAGGGATATGACACCAGCGGGGGCTGCGGGAAGGGTGGAAAAAGGGAGACAGAGTTTGCTCTTTGTCTTTAAGGGCACCTCCTGGGGACACCTCTGGCATCCCAGATCTAAGGCCCTTCCAGAGAGGGCCAGGGCTCTCCCCCTTTGGCAGAGAAAGAAAGAAAGAAATGCTCATGTGCTGTATAGAAAGAAAAGGGCTAGCTTTCTGTAGGACAAGGCAAAATGAAATAAGATGGAAGTTCCAAACTGGCTGGCTGCTTGCCTTTCAACCTTGGGGAAGGGGTTCCTGGGCGCAGCAGCTGTCTCTGGGCACTGCTCACCACTGACTTTTAGCACGTAAGTGTAGGAAGGGACCTTTCCATCCCATTTCCTCGGAGAAGGTGAATTCAGCAGGTTGTCTGCCTGGGAGAAATGGTACCCACCCTGATGCCTGCCAATGACTTTGCTGCCTGCTTTTTGATCTGAGTTGAGAATCATTTGTTAAGATGATCTTATCAGGTTAAAAACTGGGGGGAATCTCTTTTAGAAGACCAAAAGCATGAAGGCATGGGCAGGTCTCCCCACCCTGGCTGCAGAGGAAGCCGTGAGATGCCTCATGACAGATTCCCTCTCCAGCCTGATCTGCCTTCACTGGCTTCCATTACTGTATCCCCAGGGGTGAAACAGCAAGCCCCACGTGGGAGAATAAAAAAAAAAAAACAGTGCTATTCTTCCTTGATATTGTTTCCAGTTTTCACAACTTTAAAGTTTGATCCATTCATACTTTTTAGCTTCATAACACTATGATTAGGGGAAATTAAGCAACAAGTAATGTTTCCAAAGTTACCCAGCAGCAAAGACAGGAAGACCCTTATTTCCAGCTCATTCCCTTGGATGCGATGTTGCTTAGGGTCTTGGGTGAGAGTGCCGAGAGGGCCGATTAGGTGATCCTAGCTGGGGTGGGTGGGGCTGGGAAATGGGTTTGCCCAATCCATCAGATGGGTTAATCTCTCAGTAAGAGCTCTGCTAACTGGTGCCACTACTTAAATGCATCTAATGTCCCCTTTCACTAGAGATTTCCCCCTTGGTCATCAAATCCCACCTCCATGCTCTGACCCTTTATAGCCAGGAGAATTAGGATGCGTCCATGTGTTTCAGGTATGCTAGCACAGACCCTTAATTATGGATGTGTGAGGCTCCAGTACGGGTTAGGGCATATTTCTTGGCACCAAGGGTCTGGAGGCGACATGCTTGCACAGGCAAGAGGACAGAGGGAGACCCAGGCCCATCACGCGCACGCACACACACACACACACACACACACACACACGCACGACCGGAACGTCATCATAAAAAAGGATCGGGTGGGATTCAAATGGCTGAAGGACTAGGTCAAAAAACTCTTCTGTCTGGTCCCTGCAGCCTCTCCAGGGCAAACCCCAGAAAACGCCCTAACCCGAGCCCTGGCCATGTTCCAGTGGTTTCATGCACTGGTGATTTGCCCTTGTTGGAAAGAGAGAGAGAGAGGGAGACGGTTTTGTTTAAGAGCCACTGCGGACTATAAAGGCATTGCACTGCAGCACGAAAACTCAAGGGGAAAGCCCGAGGGGGCCGGGAAACCACTGAGAGGCGAGAACCCAGGAGAGGAGGACCAGGGCACGGCGACAGGACGAGAGGCAGAGCGGGGCCACGTGGGGGTGCCCAAGGGGAAGGTTCAGCAGTGTCCGTGCTTACAAAACCTGCAGCCACCCTGGCCGAGTGCAATGGGGCGGCCACCCTGCCATCCGTCTGGGCAAGAGGGTCCAGTTAGGAGCTGAAAACCCTGTAGGAGGAGAAGTGGGGAGGGAGTTAGTGCCAGAGGAGCAAGGCTGCTCTGTTTCCTTAAAGAGACTCAGAGAAAGGCTCCTGAGTTCTGGACTTTGTCTCTTTCACTTCCTCGGCAGCCCCAGTGACTGGGACAGGCCTGGCACCCAGGTGGGACTCATCTTGAGTGAATGAAGAATGAATCAATGAACAGATGAATGAGCCTGGCTCAGCCATACAATAAGACAGGATGAGCTGTGATCTTCAAGGCAATAATGTCAGCCTGCTAGACACCAAAGTATGTTTTCAAGACTGCCATGTTGTCATAAGGGGGAAAACAATGAGGAAGCTTATGAAATGGAGTGTGTGTGCCCTAGGCTACTGAAAACGAGGAAACTGAATTCCCACCTAATTTTAAGGGCACTTGGTGGTGGTTTCGAGGCAGACAATGCAGGGAGTGAGCTTACAATGAAGGGTGACATGTCATGGCATTAATGTAAGGTTTGAAGAGTTATGCTCAATCCCAGTTGTGTGGTACCTCAGACCATTTCCAGCAGTTTCTAGAGGACAGTGGGATTGTCAAACTAATGGAGATTGGAATTTGCATCCATGAGAACGCTAGCAGCATCTGGGGGGTGAGGGAGGTAGTATAAACCCTAGGAGCAGTGAACAGGAACACAAGCTTTGCAGTGGTGAGAGCCATCATTCAACTTGGAGGTGCCCCGGTGGAAGCTGACATCCATAGCCGGGGTTCCCACACTTGAGGGGAACTCAGAATGCCCTGCAGGGGTGGTAGAAACACCAACTGCTCAGTGCCCTGACCCCAGAGATTCAGATTCAGCAGGGCTGGGGCAGCCTGGGAATTCGCATTTGTAACACATTCCCAGGAGATGCTGCTGCTGCTGGTCTGGGGCCCCAGCGTGGGAAAGCCAGGGTCAGTGGAGTCAAACGTCTCTGTTAGGGCTCTGCCCGCCCCTCACCCTGAGGAAGGAGCCAGCTTACTCATCGGTGTCTTTTTTGCTCTCCTCAATGAAGGCAATGGATTCAGATCTAAGGCGGTTGGTCACTTCATATGTGCGCAGGGTGACCCCGAAAATATCCTCATGGTAGCGGTTGTCATCCTAGGGGATAGAAACAATCAGGAATCAGACTTCAAACGCCAGCTGAGGGCATGGAGAAGGGCGGACACACGGACACCCTGGAATGGAATATCCGTGAAGAAGATGGTTCCTTAAGATACCGGGTGTAGGAAGTTCCCTGGTGGTTCAGTGGTTAGGACTCGGTGCTTTCCTTGGAGTGGCCTGGGTTCATCCCTGGTCAGAGAACTAAGGTTTAGCAAGCCCTGTGGCATGGCCAAAAAAAAAAAAAAGAAAAGAAAGAAAAAAGAAATGAGATGTAACTCAGGGCCCCCTGGAGGCTCCTCTGGTCTCCAGGACTGTGTTTCAGCAGGAGCCTCTGCCCTATAGGGCATGGGGGTCTCTCTAAGCCCAGTTGGCAACAAACACTTTTGTTCCCATCCAGAAAGAGTGCTGCTGCTTTGTGGGTGCTAAGGACAGAAAAGCTGAGGGGGTCCAGGGGAAACTTCAGCTCATTTCCCCATTTCCTCCCTCCTCCTTGTTCCCACCAGTTCAGATCTGGGGCACGGCTGGGTTTAGTGTGAAACATCACCATCAGTAGAGACCAGCAGAGACGGAAGGAAGGACAAAGTGCCCACTTAGCTCTCAGGGAACACCACGGTTGCCAAAGTGGAGGCTTCTCCGGACATAGCTTATCTGACGATGAGTATCTTAGCTCAGCTTTGCCCAGAAACAAACAAACAAGAAAACTCGAGAAACACCATGAGTGAGGATGAACTTGGGGCATCCCAGGGTTTCTGGAGCCACTGGAGCTCCTTCGGCAGAACTGAGGGATAGGCATTAAGGAGATCCCAGAGGGCAGTGTCACTGAGAATTAAAAAGGGGGTAAGGTCCCCCCCCCCCTCACTGAGGAAAGGCAGTGTTTGGGGAACACGCATTGAGCAGAGTTAAGTTCTTTCTGGCATCCATGGTCCCAAAGGTTTTGAAGAAACTTGCCCATCTGTAGAGTGGATTCATTTTAAGTTGGGGTGGTTTTCTGACCTTCTTCTGCAGAATCTATGAAAATGTGTCCCGAGGACTTACAGCAAAGAGACAGAGTGGTAGGGGACTCTGAAGCTCTCCAGGGTACTCTGGCATTTCTACTGGAAAGCTGTTATTGTTTTAACCTAGTAGGTTTAGTATCAAAATTAGAGCAAGGGTTTCTTCTACAAAAATGCCTGACTGCTGCTTACTTAGGGAAGCAGGGAGAAGAACGGGGTCACCTTTGGAGCTTTGTGGAGGCTGCAGCTCAGTTTACTCTATTTGGGACAGTTGGCCACAGAGTTGGGACTTTGCTTCCTGAGCTGCTACTAGCCTTTCTGCAAATTAGGAAAAGACACCCCTCCTTCGGTGGGGAACACAGTTCTATGCCAAGGCATGCTGCTTGGGAAGCCAAGCCTGGTGGTGACTTTCATCCCCTACTTGCCCCCTTTGGACAAACCCTTTTGCGCAGTGGCCAACCTGCACAACTGCCCAGGGCAGTCCTGCAGCTTGGTTCTGGGGACAGGAATGGTTGGGTTAGGATCGTTTCTGTCTAACTACTAATGGTCCACCCGCTTTGTCATTTTCATACATCACAGCTCTCTATTCTATTTAATATATGCACTGCATGCCCAGCTATCTTTCCTTCTCTCTCTACTATGGTTTGGGATCACCTGCATCCTCTACCCCCAGTCATATATGGGAAGATGGGAGCAGGGATGTCATCACGGGTCCCCCGAGTCACTGAGACAGGTAAGACGAGGAAGAGGAGACAGGATGCCAGAAAAGGGCTCCCAGGAGCCAGTCCATCACTCACCCTCAGTCTGCTGATGAACACGCCAGCATCCTCCACCGAGAGCTTGCCCTTCTGGCTCATGATGCGCTGGATGGCTTTGAGGACATCGGCCGCCATGGTGACATCCCCGCACACGTAGATGTGGCCCCCTTGCTCCTTCAGGGCTCGGTACACGGTTTCCGCCAGCTGCTCTTGTAGGATGTCTTGCACGTACTTCTGCGGGATGTGGGGGGGCAGGGAGTGGGAGCACTGGTGAGGAGGAGCCAGGCTGTGTAGCTCCCCCCTCCCCCCCATCCTGGGAACAGAGCCTGGCCCAGGGGCTTGGGGGCAGGTCTATGTTTTGTGCAGCGATGCAGGGGACTGGGAAGAATGAGGCAGGGGAGGAGGGAACGTCAGTCTGAGAGAGCGATGAGCAGTGCCTCTGCTTTGCAGCTCACCTCTGCTGAGGACCCTCGAGGGAGCCAGGCCGCCCACGCCCCAGAGCTGTCCCCTGAAGGCGTAAGAGCGGGGTGTTGCCTGCCAGCTCCTCTCTCCCATGGCCAGTGGTCACCCCAGGGGTGTTTACACCTGTGCACCCTGAGGTGTGGGGCTGGTACTGCAGGCATCCTACGCCCGGGAGCCGGAGAAGCCCCAGACAGACGGCAGGAGATGGGGGAGGGGCTCACAGGTGACACCTGAGCAAAGCCAGCTGCTGTGGGAATTGCTGCAATAAATCGTGGGTTAAGGAAATATCGGGTGGGCACAAGGGGTGTCCAGTGCAGCCTCTAGGGAATTTGTCTGGATTGCTCAGGAAACTTCCCCCAGGTGAGCCTGGCATTCAGCTGGTACTTTCAGGCACGACCATACCAGCTGCTGAAACACTGATGAACTCTCATGCCAGGGGTCCAGTAGCTGCTCCAGCACCCAGACCCTCGAGGACCCCCTTCCCCGGCTGTCCCGGGTCCTTTCCTGGGATGCCCCTGGGGTCCAGTTGAAGTTCCCTAAGATCCAGCAGGGATGTGCCCCTGTCTTGTAGAACGTGTCCGTTCTGACTTGGAGTGCCTCTTATGGGCTGTTTAATTTTTTTTGGCGGGGGGAGGGACTGTTTAACTTTTTTAAATTTTTTATTTAATTAATTTATTTTAAAAATTTATTTTTTGGCCCCGAGGCATGTGGGATCTTAGTTCCTTGACCAGGGATTGAACCCATGTCCCCTGCATTGGAAACAAGGAGTCTTAACCACTGGACCACCAGGGAAGCCCCTTTTAATTCATTTTATAAATATTTTTATTGTGATAAAGTGCACATAATGTAAAATGCAGGCGTGTTTTACAATGTGCAGCCCAACACAGTGGGATTGAGCACATTCATGGTATTGAGCAACCACCCCTTCTGTCTAGGTCCACAACCTTTCCACCTGCCTCACAAGGACACCCTGTACCCATTAACTGTCAATTCTCACTCCTCCCTTCCCACCGGCCCTGGAGACCACAAATCAGCCTTCTGTCTCTATGGATCTAGCTGTTCTGGATATTTCATGTAAGTGGCATGATAGAGTACAGGCTGTTAAATATTTTAGGTCAAATGTTTATGCTCCAAGCTTCCTGAAGTTCAGAGCGATGTCACGGAAGAGAATTCAGAAGGGGTGAGGGTGTTTTGGGAGCAGGGTGTGTGTGTGTGGATGGGCACATGTGTGTGATGGGCCGGGCTTACCTTTGGTTTGTCTGGCTCCCGGGAGTAGGCCGTGTACAGTTCTCTGAAGACCCCCTTGCTCTTGGCCTGCAGGGTCTCCTCCCTGTAGATGTGGTCTATCTTGGACTGCCGGCACCCGAAGACCAGGACCATGGGGCAGGGGCTCATTCCTGGGGGCCGGGGAGATCTCCTGTCAGCTCTGATGCCTGATGTAGGGGTGCCAGGGTGCTGGGAACCTTAGCACATGTGACACTGGGGCAGGGGGTATGTGTCTGTCTCTCTCTCACACACACATGCACGCAGGTACACACACACGCACACACTAAGGGAAGTCGATCAAGCGTGTTCAGACTTCAGCAGACCTTTTTTCTCTGGGTCTCAATCATTCCTTTGTCCCTCCCCAGCACTGGTAGCACCAAACCTTCAGACTTGGAAGCTAGACTGCTTGGGTTAAAATCCCAGCTCTGTGTGATGCTGAGGAATTAACTTTCTATGTCTCTGTGTCCCCATATGAAAAATGGAAGTAATAACAGCATCTAACCTCATAGGATTATTTTAAGAAGTAAATGTACATTAGACCCCTGCCCAGTACATAGTGAAGTCCCTTGGTATCCCAGGGGGTCACTTCCAGGACCCACCCCGATACCAATATCCACTGATGCTCAAGTGCTATAGTTGGTCCCCTGAACCCACTGGTTCCACATCCACGGGCTCTCAACGGGCCTCGGACGGTACGTATGTATTTATATGAAAAAAAATTTCATATAAGTTGACCCACTCAATTCCCATGTCAGTCAAGGGTCAACTGTACTTTGTAAATGTATGTTTGCTATTCCACTAGAATGACAATTCCACTGGGGCGAGAGAGAGAGAGAAAGTGTGTGTGTATGTGTTTCCAGTTGTTTCTGTCTTGTTCATTGCTACGCCTCTAGCACCTACAATAGTGTCTGGCATCCATGAGATGCTCAGTAAATCTCCATTTAATGCATGTCAGAACTGTGGTTTCTTTTTCCCTCTCTCCTCCCAAAGCTGATCTGTTGTGTTTCTCGCACAGCAAACCCTGCACTTCAATAACCGCCTTTGCAACAATCCCAGAAACACACATCCATTGGATAAGGCTTAATGCACACCCCTTCTAGGACTGCTTACATTTTAAGGTGGGGTTCCTATCTTAATAGTCCAAGAAATGTCTTCTGGGGATGGGCTTTCAGGCCTTACAACAAGCTGTGTGGATGACTTGTTTGGACGGGTCCTTGGAGTTGCACCATAAACTTGGCCCGTGGGTCTGATTGCTACAGTATTCCCTGTCCCTCCCCAGGCAGTGATGCAAAGGAGACAGAACAGCATCATGCCTCCTGGCTGCTAGGATACAGGAGGCCCTCCCAGGATCCAGGGGGAGGAAGCCTTGTGCTTGCTGGACCACAACCCACCTTTGTGTTGGATATCAAATTGCCGCTGCTGCCAGAAGCTCCGGAAGGGGGCGATGCCAGTGCCTGGGCCAACCAGGATACAGGGCACTTGGGGATTTTGGGGCAGGTGGAAGCTGGGTGCTCTGGACAAGGAAGGGAAAGTCAGGAGGCTGGCTGAGTTCAAATCTGATCAAGAACTGTTGGCTTTCTGTTGTATACAGCAACAGATATCCAACAGTTCTTGATCATATTTGAGCTCAGCAACAGCACTGTGAAACAATTATCCTCCAATAAAAAAATTAAAAAAAAAAAAGAAAAACTCTGTTAGATCTTAGGTAAACCAGATGGCTGATCTGGGTAGAAATACAATGGGACTCAAAGCTCTTCAGCTGGGGTCAGGTGGCCCTTTTCATGGTTGGGAGATCCCATAAATTTGGGGAATTTCCCCAAACAGGAGATCCTCAGGATCTGCCCATCGCCCCACTTTCTAATTATCCACATTGCTGAGCTAAGCCACAAAGGGAGTGGGACGGATCAAATGCAGGGCTTGCCTACCTCAGCCCTCCTGACATTGGGGGCTGCACAATTCTCTGTATACAATCCCACCACCAAGAAAGGAGGGCTGTCCTGTGCATTGTAGGATACTGACTGGTACCCAGGACTCTTATCTATTAGATGCCAGGAGAACCCTCCAGCTGTGATAGCCAAAAATATCTCCAGACTTTGCCAAGGGCCCCTGGGGGGCAAAATCACCCTTGGCTGAGAACCACTGAATTAACCATCTATGAGATTTTCCAAATCTGGGAGCTGCAAATGTCAGTGTACAAAAGAATCACGTGGGGATGTTCAAAGTGGGTGTAGATTGCTGGCAATGTAGTAAGTCTAGGCTCAGGACTCAGCATTTTTGATGCACCACAGGGGATTCTGGTGCTGGTGGTATGTGGACCATACCATGACCATTCTACCCTTCACAGCTGAGAAAAATGACTATCCAAGTCCACAGTTTAGGCAGGGAAGTTATCAGCTGACAAAGCAGGTAAGTACAGAAGGCCTAAGCTCAGGCATATCAATGATTTTTTAAATTTTTATGTTTTTAAGGCTATATATCTATATCTATCTATCTATCTATCTATATATATATATTTTGATTGACTGATTGTGGTAGGAACACTTAACATGAAACTGATCCTTGTAACATGTTTTTAGGTGCACAATACAGTACTGTTAACTGTGGGCAGAAATATCCTTTAAAACTGAGTTTGGAAGGGGAAGGTGGTTGACAGGGAGGGTGGTTAAATCTTCCTGGTCTCTAAGAAACTGCGAACACATGGGGTGGCCAGCAGGCTTCAGATAGAAATTTCACTGGCCTGCAAATTCCCTGAAGGCTGAAACTGCATTTGCCTGGCTGTCTAAGGCAGCCCCAACTAGCACAGGACATGCACTTGATAAATATTTGTTGCACTGACCTGAATTTGACCAGAGGACTTACTTAGTTCCTGCTATGTTGCTCTGCCCCAGTGAGCCTGTTGCCTAACAGCTGGGAGTGATGCTGAATGTTGATCTCAGTCCTGCCTGACTCGGCCACCTCTCCAGAACCCTTTCAGCTGGTCCACCGGCCCCACCCACCCCAACTCAGGACCTCAGGATGCAGATTAGGGATGGCTGCTTCTCTCTTTTCATTTGCTACTCACCCTCTCACGAAACAGGGCACCACTTCGTCAGCCTGGATCCGGTTGAGCCAGGAGGAGCACACGCCGTGGTGAATTGGTCCTTCTCCATCTAACAGGATAACCGAGGTGATCTGGCTCATCTACTGTCCCTCACGCTCCCCCATCCCCGGCCTCCCCATCCTCCAGCACAGGAGGCCCACAGCCTCGATGCCAAGTTTCTGCCTTGGGGTTCCCTGTCTGGATCCCTTGTTCTGATGGTGAAGAGGAAATGGTAAAGCTGGGGTGGGCCTGTGGCTGTGAAACTGTTGGGTGGGGGTGAGTTGGATTCCAATCCTGTCCACTGCAAGGGCCTGCCAGGACCGCGGTCTCAGCGGTCTCTCAGGCACCGCACACTTTTTTTCTTTTGGCTGTGCCTTGTGGCTTGCAGGATCTCAGCTCCCTGACCAGGGAGTGAACCCAGGCCCCAGCAGTGAAAGCCCACAGTCCCAACCATGGGACCGCCAGGGAATTCCCAGGCACCATGCATTTTCACCTCTTTACCAAGGATGGAAAACACAGGCACAGAGGTCAGGCTATCTGGCTGCCCTCCAACCAGCTGGGTGTCATGGAGCACAGAGCTCCCCCTCTGAGGGAAGAGGGGGTGGTGGTTTGTTCCAGCTGCTACCTTGGGGGTACACAGGGAGGGAAGGGAGTAAAAGGGGGTCTTGGGCTTTGGGAGCAGAGGCTTCCAAATGCACAGCTCACTTCTTCCCTAACTCTGCACGGAGCTGGCTCTGCCTAAGGGGACAGTTTGCTGCACTGGTTCCTCTCCCAGTTTTCCTGACCTTGGAGGGGGGTGGGTCTTCTCCCCGGGGTTTGGGTCTTGAAAGAGGTTTAGGCAGATGTCCAGGGGCCCCTGGAAGTGGGGTGGGAAATGCAAAGCCGGGGGCTCTCCCAGCGCCTCTGCCCACCTCGGGTGCGGTAGGAGACGATGGCCACGGTGAGGTGCACCTCGTCGGGGTACATGTCCGGGGAGGAGCTGATGGAATAGTAGCGAGGCTGCAGCAGGGACAGCTGGGTCAGGAGCAGGGTGGAGGGCATCTGGATGGACGGGAACTCCTCCAGCACCTCCACGATGTTGGGGTTCTTGCCCCATTTCCACTCCTCATACTCCTGCAGACCCTGCACCATGGATAGGGACAGAAGGGAACCTGCAGCCAGACCCTGGAGCGAACTTTCAAGGCAGGCTCACTCGCGGAGGTTCAGGGAAGAAGGGAAATTAAAAAATAGTCATAGTTAACTCTTACATAGGAATTATTCTGTGCCAAGTTTTCACTTATTTCATCTTATGAAATAAACCTGGTTGTCACCCCTATTTTATTGATGGGGAAACTGAGGGATATAGCGATCACACAGCTATGAGGCGGTGGCAAACTTTAGCCCACAAACCACCTGCTCATATGGCCTGTGAACTAAGAGTTGTCTGTATATGTTTTAATGGCTGGAGGTAGTGAATCAAAAGAACAATACTATTATCTGATGCAAAGAACTGACTCACTGGAAAAGACCCTGATGCTGGCAGGGCAGGAGGAGAAGGGGGGCAGAGGACGAGATGGTTGAGTGGCATCACTGACTCAATGGATATGAGTTTGAGCAAGTTCTGGGAGATGGTGAAGGACAGGGAAGCCTGGTGTGCTGCAGCCCGTGGGGTCGCAGAGTCCAACACAACTAAGTAGCTGAACAATAACAACAAGGGTTCCAAAGGAAGGAGGAAAAAGCGTTAGCAATTTCTACTGAGAGAATGTGGAGATTCAACGGGATCGCTCTTTTGTCCTTTCAGACCTTTGTTAGAAGGAGGGGAGATGGCCAGGTCCAGCCAAAATGGATTAGCTAATATGGAGACCTGCAAACTAGATGGTGGCAGCCCTCGCTCAAGGCTGCCATCTGCTGAAACACTGTTGCAATAACCACACAGAGAAGAAGTGAAGTTGCTTAGTCATGTCTGACTCAGCAACCCCATGAACTGTAGCCTGCCAGTCTCCTCTGTCCATGGGATTTTCCAGGCAACAATCCTGGAGTGGGTTGCCACTTCCTTCTCCAGGGGATCTTCCCAACCCAGGGATCCAACCCAGGTCTCCTGCATTGCAGGCAGATTCCTTACCAGCGAGGCCACGAGGGAACCATAAAATTCTCCAAGGAGCAGGTGGTGAGGTTGGATGAGGCCAGGGACCTACCTTGCTGAGGACCAGCAGACGCTGCTTCTCTTTCTCACTGGTGGCCAGGGAGGCAAACTGCTGCAGCTGCAGTGGCGTCGGAGGCGTGGTGATGTCCAGGTAGTACTTGAAGGCCTGGAAGATGGTGCAGGGCGGCAGGCGATGCTCATCGGTCCAGTTACTGATAACCCCTGCAGAGGCACAACAGAGGTGAGAGATGGGTGGGGGAGGGACAGTGTGGACCCTGAGGGTTTGGGTCCAAGTCAGGGAGGCCAGACCTGCTTCTGGAGCAGAGGATGGGGCCCGAAGAACCGACTGCCCCGGAGCCAACTGACCCCTTGGCTGGCCACCTCCATCCCACATCTACAGCCAGGTTTCCTGGGGACCCTGTGATCACCTCCTGTATGCAAGGAGCATGTCCAAAAGCAGCTGAGCAAACTAGTGCCAGAATTTAAGAGTAAATATTAAAATAGCACGAGACCGTCCTTTGATATTCTGAGCAACGAGCCATCAACTGAGCGCGAACTATGAATCCATTTTCCCCGCCTCTCTTCTCACGGTGTCAGCCTTTTGCCGCTCTAAGTGGGATTCTAGCATTTAAAATGCCAAACATGCCAAACACTTACCTAGCCCTTCCTATGCACCACGTCGTTTCCTCAGCACTTTTCTATCAGTAACTTTTAATCCTTGCCACAATCCTAGGTGGTGGGTGCTATCATTATCTCCACTTTGCAGTTGAGAAAAGGGAAGCACAGAGAAGTTAAGGGATTTGCCCAAGGTCACCAGGTGGCGCTAGTGAAGAACCCCCCTGCCAATGCAGGAGATGTGGGTTCCATCTCTGGTTTGGGAAGATCCCCTAGAGAAGGGAGTGGCAACCTGTTCCACAGTACCCTTGCCTGGAGGATCCCATGGACAGAGGAGGCTGGTGGGTTACAGCCCCTAGGGTCACAGAGAGTCAGACGCGACCGCGCGCAACAACACAGCTCACATTCATAAAGTCAGGCAGTACGGCTCCAGACCATGTTTGAACTACTGCCTCTGTGCACTTCAGTCCAATAGAGTCCCTGCACACAAGCCTTTGCTCCATCAGGAGCTCAACTTAAGATAGAAAGTACTGTCCCAACGTGGAGGAAGAACTGGCTGGGTTGGATTTCATAAGAGCAGGTGTGTCTCTCCAAAGCGGTACCTTCCTTTTCAGCATGGTTTTGACTACGCATTGTTTTCATATTCTGCCCTGACTTTATGTCCTGGCTCCCTTGTAGAGGAGATGTGTCACTGTATCATGGGCTACCACATGTGGTCACTGCAGTTCCTTAAGTCCTGAGCTCACTCACGACTACTGAGATGAAGCACGTAGACCCAGTTGCCTTGCAAAGTTCTTTAATAGGAATGTCAAGGGTGGTTCCCCAGACAGGTTGGGACTTGATCTAATGATATCAGAAATCAGGTTCAATCCCAATGGGCCACTGAACTTCATATAGTGCTTTTGGATTCTAAGGGAAGGTAGAAGTGGACTTCAGCTGCTATTTCTCTCAGTGGGCGGTGAGGCTGGGGTGATGAAGGAAGTCAGACAAGTAGCCTTTGCTAAGATTGGTGTCTAGCCGATGAAGGAAGGTAAGACTCTTTCCCTCAAGGGTGAACCATCGGTGTCCTGGCTTAAATGGACACTTGCTCAGCTAGTTGGGTCAAGGTTGTTCAGCCATGAGGAAGGGGAGCCTTCAGTCTCATAAGCTGGGGGTGACAGAGACCCACTCTCCTGCCTGGACTGGCAACTGGGAAGAATGGGTTTCCTCTTCCCTGGATACCCGCTGGGGAAGGGAAGGCCCAGACAGACCCTGGGACTCCTGGGAGAAGGAAACGGCCCTTGGGAGTGGCTGGGTGGGGTACTAGCATGGCCATAGTTACCCAAAGCCGTGTTCCGCTCCTCCAGCAGCTCCACCTTCACCAGCTGGTTGACAGGGGGGGCATCCTCCAGTCGCTCGATCAGAGCATTCACCAGATCCTCGTGGTTGCCGGGGAAGACGCCCAGGTGGTCCCCGGGCTGGTACTGCAGCTCCTGATTCCCGTTGGTGTGGAGACGCACGAAGATGGTCGATCGACTGGAGGGAAGGGTCGGGGAACAACAGGCTGAGGGCCACCAGCTTGCGCCCCTTCTCTTTGCTCCTCTGTCTTTGCGGCTACACCTCCCCTCCTTCCACTCTCCTTGGGGCTCAGGCCAATCAGACTTCCACCCCTAGCAGTTCCACAGGGCAGGTTTCAGCAAGGTCATCCATGAGCTCCTCTTTGCAAACCCAACAGCCAGTTCCCAGCGCTCACTGTGTTCGTCAGAGCAGTACTGGACGTGGCTTCTCACTTCCTCCTCCTCAATCCCCTTCTCTCCAGCTCCCCAGGCACTCCTGGTCTCTTCTCTGGCTGCTCTTCCTCAGTCCCCTTTGTTGGTTCCATCTCATCTCCCCTAACTCTGGACATTGGAGCACCCTGAGATTCAGTCCCAGGGTGAATCTTTGCTTTTTTGCTTTTTGACTCCCTTTTGCTTTTCTGACTTCCTGTCCCTGTTTTCCTTTTCTCCACAGTGCTTGCCAAACTCCATAGAATGGAGAGTTTACTCCATCCTATGGCATGTGGTCTGTCTCTCTGCCTGCCCCTTCTCCATCCCCACCCTGAGGACAATAGAGGGGACTAGGAATCTGTCTAAACTCTAGAGGGCAAGGAACTTGTCTATTTTCTCCACTGCTCTATTCTAGCACCTAGGACACTGCATGTCCTAGCACCTAGGACAGTAGATACTCAAGAAATATTTATCGATTGAAGGAACCAGCTGCTGGAACAGGCTCTATTTTTGATACCCGATTTCTACCAGGAACCACTAAACCCCACTGGAGCCGTGGCAGTGATGTCCCCATTCTGTGAAACTCCACCTCTCCTGGGAATCCAAAGCTTCACCTCCTTTTGCAAACTGGGGTCCTCACCTTGTCCTGGAAAAGGGAAAAGGGCTTGACCTTAAGCTCAGGTTCTTATTATCCCCAATCCACTGATACTATAAAGTTTATAGAACAAAGGAGAAAACCCAGAGGGAAACTTGTTTAGGCCTGCCGAGTCACGCCCTTTCCTTCGATAGTTGGATTTCAAGTGCAGGAGGTCTATGAATGAATCCTCAGAATAGGATTATTCTGGTTCTTTTAAAGTTTTAGTACCAATACACTGCATTTTTATGCCTGAAAACTTTGGGATTGATGACTACACTTGGGTAAATCAAATCTTTTTGTATTCTTGGAATTACATTCGCATTTTCTGATCCGCTTTTTCTTCCTTGCCAACTGGTTTTCAGTTGATAGAGACACTTGATATTCAACATGAAGTTTCTACATTCTTCGTGGTATGTAAATCAGCACTTGAATAGACCAATGGGACTCGCTATTTGAAGGAGTTTTTGGCACAACCAAAAGTTCTTTTGTGCTGCAAATAGCCACCATTATTAAAAATAGTTGTGCTGGCATCTCTGCTTTTTTGGGTGTATTTTCTTGAAGCACGACACCCCTGTCCTTAATAGGGTGGGGAACTCGGTGACTGAGATTGTGAATGATGGTGGTGGGGGTCTGGGCTCCCACTCTCCTTCCCTGGGCAGATTTTGCCCTCCCTGGGACACTGATCTTATCTATTAAATGGGCTTGCGTGAATGACTCTGCTCTGAGCTCATGCCAACCTATCGGTTCCTGGAGAGCTGGAGAGACATGTCACCCTCCTGCCAGCTCCAGGAAGGGACTGAGCAGAGGCTGACAGCCAGCAGGGGGCGCTGTGGGGTTGAGAATTTGGGAGCCTCCAGTGCCAACCACGGGAAGTCTTTGAAAGGCCCACAAATCAATTCCCACTTTCTCCCAGATCATCACGAGTTGTTGTTGTTGTTGTTTTTTTTTTTCAGAAGTATATTTGCCTCTGTTCCTATGGCCAGTACAAAATAGAAACGTGGAGGACCCAAACTTGCTGAGCTGGCTTGTGCTCACAGCCGTTTCCACTAAGTCCTCTTGAACGCGGCTGAGGGTGGTCAGGCAGAGAAGGGGCAGGGATGAGGATGGACCTGGCCTGTGGACCACGAGGTGGGGGTCAGGCTCTGCTGGGAGTTGGACCACGGACACTGCGCACGCCTCTGACTGGAGAACCCCCGCAGTGAATGGCTGCATGGCCTGAGGACCGCTCTGTGGGCTGGTCCTTGAAGCTTTGCCGGGAGCTGATCCCCCAGTGGGTAGCACTAGCCTGGAGACCTACTGTCTTATATCTCTGTTCTGCTGGGGATTTCTAAGTATGGGACTTTCTAATCTTTTTCTTTTTTTTTAAAAAGCTTGGGATATACATGGGTTGTCAGAAAGTATTAGGGCAAGGACTTCCCTGGAAGTCTAGTGATTAAGAGTCCACACATCTACTGCAGGGGGCATGAGTTCAATCCCTGGTCGGGGAAAGAGGATCCTGCATGCCACATGGTGCGGGCAAAAAAAAAAAGTCCTTTCCCAAGCTTAAAAAAAAGTAAGTATTTGGAGAGGGGAAAAAAGGTAGCATTGGAAAGGCAACAGCCATTCAAATGCCCGTCCCCTGAGTATGGCCTGCTTGTGACGTATTTACATCCGCCTACAGCAACATCGCACACACAAACAGTCACTCATGCACACACACAGTTAGCAATGGTTCAATGACAGGTTCACAGGGGAAAGAACAGTCTGCTAACATCCAGAATTAAAGGGGGGGGCGGTGGGAAACAGCTCATGTTCGTTCATTCATCAATGAAAAGAGTAAACATGGTCTCTTGTGAGCAGTTTGAGGTGATAAGGCTCATAGCTTCAACAAATTTGTTAACACTTTCTAGGCACTGATGAGAGAGTGATGGATAAAGAAAACACAGGGCCCCATTCTCACTGAGAAGCAACTGAAAAAGATCATGGATGGGGCTGGTGATGTGGATGGGTGGGTGCTGACAGGTTGGGGGCAGTGGGCTCAGTGACCAGCAGATAAGGATGGTCGGGGAGGCCTCGCTGGTGATTTGATGTTGGAGCAGAGATCTGAACGATGAGGAGGAGGGGACATGCAAAAATTTGGGGGAAGAGTTTCCTGAAAGGGGGAGCAGTACATGCAAAGGCCCTGAGGTGGAAAAAGCATGACACGTCCGAAGATGGGAAAGAAGGCTGGAGGGTTTGGAAGGGGGTCAACACAGGGCTGAGTGGCACAGGAGGAGGTCAGAGAGCTAGGAAGAGGCCAGATCAGGAGGGTCTCATTGTAATCTGTCCAGGCAAGGAGGTTGGAGGTTTCCTGAGATCAGTGGGAAGCCATTGGAGGGTATGAAGCTTCAGGAGGATGAGTTTCCATTTATATTCTTAAAAGATTAGTCTGGCTGCTATTTGGAAGATGAATCTTTGAGAAAAAAGGCAAGAAACAAGAAAGACAAGTTAGGTGGCTTTCGGAGGCCCTCAGACCACAGATGATTGTGGCCTGTCTTATGGTGGCGGCTGTAGATCTGAAATGTATTTGAAAGACAAGCCCACTGTATCAGCTGAGAGTTGGATGGATATTAGGAGGGAGACAGAGGAGGCAGAGAGGAAGCCTGAGTTTGGGGCTTACACTGAATGTTGATGTCCTGTGTTGAGATGGGGAAGGCTGGAAAGAAGTGATTTTATCCAAGAGGAGCTGGAAACTGAGAGTATTCCCATGCAGAACTCTCCATTACAATGTCCCATCTTTCTCTGATGCGCCACAGCACTCGGGCCCTTTCAGCATCCTTGCTCCTAGATGGCCCTGTCTGTTCTCTATCTTATCTAAAGCCGACCCAGCGTCTCCCCTCCTCCTCCTGACTTCTAGGACTCATGTGGCCCATATCCCACCCATCAGTGCTCCAGTATACTCTTTTCTGTATTGTTTGCTACTTGCCGCACACAGAAAAGTTTATTTCCTGGCCAGGCAGTAACTGCAGTCAGTCGCTTTTCTCTTTAGAGTTGCAAGGATCACCCTCAAAAGGTGGTTTATTTCCTCTTAAGCACTTTGTTTGCTTAAGGGTCTTTTGTTATGGGTGGGAGCGGGGTGGGGAGGGTGTTTCATAATATCTTTATGTGGTCTCCTGGCTCAAACATCTTGACTTTGGCTGTGGGCAGGGGAAGATGGGAGAAAGGGTCATACGTTTTTACTCAATCCTTACACACACACACACACACACACCCCTTATAAAGCTGGACAGGGTAGTAAGGCCTGAAAATAGGTAGTGCTGTGGAGTCTGGTTTTAAAGGGTTAAACACTGAGACCCCATTTGATTCTTTTAAAGCTAATCCATAACTGATTTTAATACTATCTTCTGGTTACTAACCTTTCTGAAATGCCCTCTTGCAAGTCACTCAGCACAGAGTCAGCTGCCCTTTCCAGAGGTGGATGGTTTGGTGGTGGGGGGTGGGGGGTGTTTATTCTGGGACTTGGTCCAGCTTAGCATCAAAACATTTGCAAATTACCTGGCTTTTTATGTGCTATGGTTTGGGAGTAATTTTTATCATCTGGTCTTTCATGGTTGGTAGCTGAGAGAAATGTTCAGTAGATTCTTAGTCCCTTCTTTTCCAATGCCACTGAGATTGTACTTTTCCATGGGACAGAAATAGGGAGTAAGATGTGTATTTCAAATATAGAGTCCCTTTCTATTGGGTTGGCCAGAAAGTTCATTCACTTTTGGGCCAACCCAATATATCAGAGATTATCATGCTCTGAATATTACATGTAACTAATTATTCAATTACATTAATTTCCCAATCCATTTCTTCAGTGTTTTAGGGTCTGGGGGAGAACATGAGTGCTCTGGGGCTCCATCCTGTTGACCATATTGACCACTTTATCATAAGTTTTACATCCAGGCATAGAGAACAGACTTTTCGTTGCCAAGGGGGTAACGGGTTTGGGGAAGGATAGAGTGGGAGATTGGCAGTCACAGAAGTAGCTTTTTTATGTAGAATGGATAAACAAGTTCCTACTGTATGGCACAGGGGATTATATTCAATATCCTGTGATAAACCATAATAAGAGAGAATATTTAAAAAGAATGTATATGTATATGTATAACTGAATCACTTTACTGTACAACAGAAATTAATGCAACATTGTAAATCAACTATAGTTGAACTGAAGAAAAGGTTTTATATCCACATAGAAAGCACACATATTGAAATGTGTAGATGTATGAAACTGGGATGGATAAAGGATAGTAACAGAAACATAGGATACCCTAGCTGCTTTGTGTGTGTTGTTTTTAATATAGCAGTCTTGTGATGCTGTTGATGCCACAGGTATAGCCATCTGGCGTTTTGACTGTGGAGTCAGAGAACTGAGTCTGTGTGACCTTAAAAAGGTCACTTGCATTTTCTAATTGTCATTTTTCCTATTTAAAACATGGGTGATAACAGTACCTATTTCCTGGGCTGTTCCAAACTCTGGGAGAGCCTGCACAGAGAGACCTCAAAACTGTGCTCAGAACACAAAAATTACTAGATAAGTACTAGTTCTCATTTTAGGTAATGAGACAGGTGTTCTGAAGGCCTAAGGGACTTGTCCAAGGTCACAGGGCTGGGGGATGGCAGCACCGGGGTAAGAACCCAGGGTGGTCTGGCTCGAGAGGCCATCCTTTGCACCACACTATGCAAAGAACGAAGATCTCAAAAGACCTTCATGGGCTAGAACTGCTAAGTGAAGAAGAGTCCATCCGATGGGGATTCAGGCAAAGACTTTTGTAACTGCTAAAAAATGTACTTACACATGGAGTGATGCAGAGATCTGGCCTGATCATTTTGAAAAGATTCAGGTCCGAGAGCAGAAAGGACATAAGCTTAATGGGAGAGCGGCAAGGCTGTTAGGACAACCCTGGGCCACTTTAGCACCTCCTGTCCGGACTGAGGATGGTAATAATAGCCTCGGCGCACTTGGCAGTGATCACAGGACCTCCACTGCGCTGGGACCAGGTCCGAGGATGACATTTCCAGTAGGACAGAGTGTCCTTCTACTACAGCAAAAGGTCTGGGAAACCGGGTCTCAGGAGAAACAGTTGGAAGGAACAAGGATCAGGGAGAGTGGCTTGCTGTCCTTGGCTATTGGCAGCTCTCTCATTTGGAAGAAGTGACTTTGTTTTAGGTGTCACCGGAGAGTGTAACACAGGACCAAAATGGAAGTGCTAGGAACACAAGCTTTGGTTATAAACAATAGGAAGAGAATTTCTAACAACTGGGACCTCAGAACACAGAAGGGGCTGTTTTGTAGGTTAATAAACCTCCCGTCCTCCCAAAGGACTTAAAGTAGAGACTGAGCAGGCATTTCTCAGGGCACCAGAGAAGAATTATCCGCAAAGATGAGCTGTCTGGACTAAGTGATTTCTGACTAAGGTACACATTAGAGTGAATATTAGGAGTTTGACGAAGGTGTGGTCTCTATTAAAAAAAATTCCTCATAAAACCTTTCTCTTTCCCCTTTCCACAGAGATCGTCACCATTCATTTTTTTTTTTTTCTTTTCTTTTTGGCTGTACCAAGTGGCTTGTGGGATTTTAGTTCCCCGACCAGGGATCAAACCTGCACCCCCTGCTGTGGAAACCTGGAGCCTTAACCACTGGATCACCAGGGATGTCCCAACCAGTTACTTTTTTCATCCCTGCACGTTGGAGCTTGGCAAATGGAAAGCAGGAAGCCAAGATGCTGCAAGGCAGCAAAGAGGGTCTGGAGGACCCTTCCAATGGTAATAGGAAGTCAGTCCCTGGAGCCAACAAGGGTTCATTCCTTGCTGTGGGTGGCATCTGGGGCAGAGGCGGGGAACCCGAGGGAACCAGGATGTTCCTACCTGGATTTTGGACTCTGAAGGTTTTGGCGGCTGAGGAGTCGAGCGGCTGAGACCCGCTTTTTGTGGACATTGGATAGACCTGGGGGGAGAAGAACAAAGGTGCTCCTGAGATGGGGTAAAACAGTTGTCAACACAGAGTCTCCAGCTTCTCCTGACCCTCTGGAGTGAAGCAAAGAGATAAAAGAAAAGAGGTCAGACAGGCACTGGGGTGGGTGGTTGTGGATACAGCAGAACAGAAAGCAAACCTGGCTGAACTTAGCAGAGAAGAGGAGGTTTAGGGTAACATGCTGCAGGGCTAGAGAGAAAGCCCAGAGCAGCAACAGCGTGTTTATTTGGGTGGCCTGCACGTGTTTATTTGGGTGGAGGTGGGCATGGCAACCCACTCCAGTACTCTTGCCAGAAGAACCCATGGACAGAGGAGGCTGGTGGGCTACGGTCCATGGGGTTGCAAAGAGCTGGACACGACTGAAGCGACTGAGCACACACGTATGCACTGCGAGGGAGACCAAAGCAACGAAGCCCACCTTCTCTAAGGGCCTTTCGGAGGTGAGAACTGCCGTCTCCCCTCCCCACCCCAGGGTCTTGGATGTCTCTCCCGGCGGGTGGTAGGAGGTACCTTGTGTGAGTTCCGGAGCTTCCGCCACGTAGGTGAGACGGAACTTGTTCCTCTTCCAGCTGCGGTCATTGCTGATGAGGGAGTTGTTCGCCTTCTCAATGTTGACGTCATCACCCACGCAGAACACATCACAGGCTGCCTGCGGCACACATTATACCCGTTAGGAGTCACTCCCATTTTCCTCTCCCCGCCTCCCCCGCCCCTGGGAATCACTAGCCTACTTCTTGTCTCTCTGAATTTGCCTGTTCTGGACGCTTCATCTACATGGACTCAGACGGTAAGTGTCCTTTTGTGTCTGGGTAGCACATGTATTCATCAGTACTTCATTCCTTGTTGTGCTTGAACATTCCATTGCAGGGACACACTACATTTTGTTCATCCATTCATCATGAATGCTAAACAGTTTACACTTAAATCTAAATGACCACGTGTGGCCAGTGGCTACCGTACAGGTCGTTGCAGACCTAGCACCAGAGGAACAAGATTGTCAAAGCAGACAGATTGGTGAGATCTGAGATCCAGCCCGAGGCATGGCCCCCTGGATTGGTTAACCAACTGTATGGTTTTTATTTACTTGTCTATGGACTGTGAGTGAAGGATGACTCTAAAATTCCAAGGCTCTATAATTTTTTATAGACCAACTCTTTGCCCTTAATACAGGAGGCTGGATTCCAGGTGGAAAATGTGTCTCAGGACCACCCAAAGTCATCTGACTTGTTTAAAGCTGTCTCCTGGTTGGATACATAAGGGAAGTACCAAAGATTTTCTCAAGTTTTTTCTATTTCTGATGGTTTAGGTGATCTGTCCTTGGGGGTCCCTGGGGACATGACTCCTCCCCATGGGTCTCTAAGATTGGGGCAGATGGTTACCTTGAAGACCTTCTTAGCCCAGGTCCTGAAAGCCTCTTCCTGCCCACAGAGCTCATCCCCCTCCCTCATCTTCAGGATCCTCTCTCCTCCAAGCTCTTCCAGGAGGGTGTCCACGGCGTGTCCAAAGGCGCAGAAGTGAGGGTATGCCCGTGAGCCAAGGCCGAACACAGAGAACCTGCCAAGAAGACAACAGAAGGTCTAGAATAGGGGGCTGGGGAGAATGCAGCAGGGGTTCTGGTGTCATGGACTGTTACGTCCCCATAAATTCACATGTGAAGCCCTGTCCCCCAGTGTGACTATTTGGAGATGGGGCCTTCAAGGAGGTAACTGAGGTCAAAAGGGTGGGGCCCTGATCCTTCTAAGAAGAGGGAGAGGCTCCTGAGAGCTCTCTTCTCCACCCCAGTGACAGGCTCACAGAGGAAGGTCCACGTGAGGACACAGCAAGAAGAAGGATGTCTACAAGCCAGGAAGGCAGGCCTCACCAGAAGCCTTGATCTTGGACTTGCAGCTTCCAGAAGTGTTAGAAACAAATTTCTGTTGTCGAGGCCCCAGCCTGTGGTATGTTGTGATGGCTGCCCAAGCAGACAAAGACAACTGGTACCTCAGAAGGGCAGTGTTTAGCTTCTGGTGGTTAGACCACCCCACACCCATTTGGAGAAGGCCATCTTTAAGCCTGGGAGCCCCTAAACCCTGCTCTCCCTTCCTTCTGGTCTCTGCTAGGTACCACTGTCCTCAGGAGAAAACTCCCAGTTGGTCCTTAGGAGGATGGGTGACCCAGGACTATTGGCTATTTCTTGAGTGTCCCTTTCTAAGCTGGACTAATTGGGGCAATAAATCTACTGGATTAGCGAAAAAGTTTGTTTGAGTTTTTCTGTAAGACATCACGGAAAACCCTGAATGAACTTTTTGGCCAACTCAATACATCAGTGGAAGACTTGACTCTACTCAGGATACAACTAAATTAGTTTCAAGTACAAAGGGAATGAAAACTCTAGCATAACAGTTCTTGGGGACATGTGCTAACAAGGAGATCAGAAGAACCTGTCATTAATATATTCCAGTGTTGGTGTGTAAACAGGTTCTTCTAAAAGGGATTGAAAGATTTATAGATATGCTGGCTCCACCCTTTGCAGTATCTGTGAAATTGATTTGTTTCACAAAGCCTCTTTGCTTGGAATGGACATATACACTCTGCTATAGTTAAAATGAATACAACAAGGACCTACTGTATAGCATGTGAAATGCTGCTCAATGTTACGTGGCAGCCTGGATGAGAGGGGAGTTTGGGGGAGCTTGGGGGAGAATGGATATATGTATATATATGGCTCAGTCCCTTCACTGCTCACCTGAAACTACCACACTTGTTTGTTAATTGGCTATGCCACAGTACAAAATAAAAAAGTTTAATTTAAAAAAATGTCTGTTTGCATAGATGCCACAAGAAAATGTTAGTGTTTGAATTGATGGGGGTCAAGTTAATGAGAATTTTCTGAAGTCTGGGAAGTGGAGGGCTGTATCCCAGATGACCCCCCAGTCCTGAGGAGACTTGACATCACACTTCCAGGACTTGGTCCTGGCTGTGGGTCTTGACCTCACTGGCCCTAGATGGACAAGTGAACAAGTGGGATACGAACAACACCCCAACTTGCGTTTTTTTTTTTTTTTTCCAGGTTGTAATGTGACTATCCTGTGGGCGACTGTCATTTCAGACAAGTCAAGGAGTGGAGCTGTTTAACTGGCTCCTTACAGAGTCTGACTCTGTCCCGGAATCTCTTTCCTGTTAAAGAATGATGGAGCCAGCCATCACATGAAAGACTGCAATGGGGGATGAGGGGAAAACAGCAGAGCAAGTTGGGAAGGGACCCTCTTGCTATTGGAGAATGAGCTTGAGATGGGGTCCAGGTATCTCAAGAGATCATGTGAAAGTTAACATAGAGTAATATCTCCTCCTCTGAAATCCACATTGATCCTTCTTCATCTTATCCTCCTGCCCTTCTTTCCTGGGTGTTCCACAGTCTTCCCAAGGGAGGGATGTAGGATTAGGTAGCATGTTTCCCCATCACTCCTTCACCCGCAATCCTCCTTTACTTGGATTCCTCACCTTTTCCCTGCAGGTGGTGAGAACTGGTGGCCAGCACGGGACTGCTTGGAGGGGGGCCAGGAAGCTGCACTCCTGCCCGCAGCCAAGGCCTGAGCCTAATGCAGGTTTGAAAACTCAGTGCTAGTCATGCCTTGTGGTTAGGGAGTTGTTCCCCAAACCTCTATTTATTTACTTATTTTAATATTTATTTATTTATCTAGATGCACTGGGTCTTAGTTGTGGCATGTAGGATCTTTAGTTGTGACATGTGGGATCTAGTTCCCTGACCAGAGATTGAACCCAGGCCCCCTGGATTGGGAGTGCAGAGTCTTAGCCACTGGACCACCAGGGAAGTTGCTCCAATATTGATTATGTTTGAGATATCTGCCATACTTGACTACCTCTCACACTGTTATTTACTTAATAGTTGCTATTTAATTTGCTTTTAATTTGTACTCTATTTGCACAAATTATTTGTACAATTATTTGTACTAGCTATTCAAACCCACTGGTGTTCACTAAGATACGGCCCAGGGAATTAATTCATTAACATGCTTCCCAATGCATCTCAAGGCCTGTGTCACAGTCATCTCCTATATACACATTTCATCACAGTCTAAACCTTATGATTGCAAAATTCCTATTTTAAGCTTCCAAACCAGAAAACTTGGCAAAATTATCATAATAGGGGCTAGATAGTAAATATTTTCAGGCTTGTAGGCTACAAAGCAAAATTGATGCTATTATGCAGATATCTGTATAACAAGGAAGAAAATAAATTTCTATATGATTTTGGACAAAATTAAAAATATAATAGCAATAGTTATGGGGTACATTTTTCTAGTTCTATATAGCTACTAATGAGAAGAATGGAATTGTTTTTTGAGGGGGGTATAGCATTTTGCTTAATTGGGGCTTGAAGGGAATATTTTCTATCATTAAATAAATTGTAGATATTCATCTGTAAAAACCATTCTGGGTTGTACAGAAGTATACAGTGGCTGGGCTGGATTCAGCCCATGGGCTGCAGTTTGCCAACCCCTGCTCTTGGGCGTGATAGATATAATAAGGGAAAAATGGGTCTGATTGTCAAACCATGGATGTTTCAATGTCAAGCTAAAGAACATGAACTGATGTCAAAACCCATCAGTTCGAGGGTGAACCAAGGGGGAACTCTAATGCAAACTATGGGCCCTGGGTGACAATGATGTGTCAATACAGGTTCATCAACTGTATAAATGTACCACCACGGCAGGGGATGTTGATGATGGAGGAGGTTGTGTGTGTGTGTGTGTGTGTGTACACGCGCACTGAGGGTTGGGCAGGTAGTACACGGAAAATCTCTGTGCCTTCCCTTCAATTTTGCTGTGAACCTATAGCTACTTTAAAAAAATAAAGTTTATTAAAAAGTGTACTGATGGGGAATTCCCTGGTGGCCCAGCGGTTAGGTCTTTGTTGTTCAGTTGCTCAGTCATGTCTGACTCTGCGACCCCATGGACTGCAGCACGCCAGGGTTCCCTGTCCTTCACCATCTCCTGGACCTTGCTCAAACTCATATCCATTGAGTCGGTGACGTCAACCAATCAAGTTACGTGGTAAGGCCAAAAAAGAAAAAAGTGTGCTGATAGAAACAATACTTGAATATCTGGGAAGCCTGTGATCTCCATCATCTTCTGAGCACTGCCCTGAGCCGGTGAGGAGGAGGTTGCACTGGTGAAGGTCTAAGAGGTTCCTGGCCGGGCCTGAACACTGCTCATACAGTAGCCTCATCTTGACCAATATCTATGAAACCGAGGGTTTGACATCCAGTTTTCTTCCTTTGCAAATACCCATGAAACTGAATCACAACCACTGAAGTAAAAAATACCTGTCCACATACTATCTAAAGTGTTCTTATGGGATATGACTATGCTTTGGGAAACAAGGGGTTGTGACAATATTTTTTTGACTCTGACTGTACATTGGAGGCAATTAGGGAGATTGAAAAAAAACAAAAACAAGCAAAGATTGGGTCCAAGTTTAGACCCAACTACATCAAAGTCTCTGGAGGTGGGGCTCAGGCATCTGTACATTGTGAACATCTCCAAGTGATTCTGATGAGCATCTGAGGTTGGGAACCATCAGGCCACAGTGGGGTGTCCCCAGAAGCTTCTAATAAATAAGATGTAGTAGCATTCATGAAGGGAACTCGCTGAGTTACGTCTGGGGGATTAGCATCCTTTAGCACAAATGATATGAAATTCAGGCAAAGGGGTGAAACTTGGGTGATGGCAGCTCTGAAGGAGTGTGATTTGGGAAGAGGTCATAGGAGGGATCCAGGTAATGTGCTTTAATGAAGCAGGGGGACGTCCCCAAACAGCAAGAGTGCAGCTGGTTACTCAAGGGATGAACGGACACGGAAGGGAGACCCCTCCCCAAACAGAGAGCCCACTCTGTTACTCTGTCCAGCTCCCCAAGAGCCTTCATCACCCCTGATGCCCTGGGCCCCTCTCTCACCTCACGTTGGCCAGGGGTCCAGTGCTCTCAAAGTTGTCTCTGAGGTCTGGCCCATCACCCGATGACTTGCGGGAGTCAGAGTACGAGGAAACGCTGTTGAAACGCACTTTGTAGCTCCTGCCAAGACGAAAGAGAATCTGTGAACTCTGGTTCAGAGCCCCCGTCCTGGGGTCAGCACCCCCATGGCTGTCTGTGTTACCAGTCCTGGTTCTAGGACCTTCCTTTGAGTGTTGAGTGAGATCATAACACTTCCGTGGCCTTGACCAGAACATATCAACTCACCCTCGCCCAACACAAGGACACCTTGACATCACTTGATGCTATGTGTATTGAAAAGGTTTTAGCAGAAACAGAATCATGGACACAGAGAACGGACTGGTGGTTGCTAAGGAGGAGGGGGCGGTGGAGGGCTGGCGTGGGAGGTTGGGGTTGGCAGGTGTGAACTTTTATACAGAGAAAGGATAAACAACAAGGTCCTACTGTATAGCACAGGGAACTATATTCAGTAGCCTATGATAAACCATAATGGAAAAGAAAATTTAAAAAAGAATGATTATATGTAACTGAATCACTTTGCTGTACAACAGAAATTAATACAACATTGTAAATCCACTATACTTCTATTAAAAAATGTTAAAACTGAAAAAAAAAAAGGAAAAGGTTTCAGACCACATTAATTGTCCATTCCTTAACCCATTAGACGATGTTTCCTTACTTCCCACATGTTAACCAGGAAAAGAATCATTCTGGGATCTTGTTAAGATGCAGATCCTGACTCAGTAGGTCCAGAGTAAGGTCTATGATGCTGCATTTCTAAGAAGTTCCCAGGAGATGCCATTGGTCCCCAAATCTTATACCGACTAGTGAAGAATCACACTCCTGCAGTCTGCTATAGTAACCATGAAAGAATTACATTTCTGCTGTCTGCTACAGTAGCCATGGGTTGTGTGTGACTATTTAAATTCATTCAGATTGGACACAATGAAACATTCTGCTCCCCACGTGCACTAAACTCACATCAAGGGCTTGACGGCCATGTGTGGCTAGTGGCTAATGTACACGATGACACAGACATAGAACATTTATGTGCGCGTAGAAAAGCTTATTGGGCAGTGCAGGACTGTCTCACTCAACAGTCTCTTTTTTTTTCCTAAACAGAAAAATTGAAGTATACTGGATATACAGTATTATAAGTTACAGGTGTACAATATAGTGATTCACAATTTTTAAAGGTTATACTCCATTTATGGGCTTCCCTGGTGGCTCAGTGGTAAAGAATTCACCTGCCAATCCAAGATACATGGGTTCGATCCCTAGGTTGGGAAGATTCTCTGGAGAAGGAAATGGCAACCCACTCCAGTATTCTAGCTTGGGAAAGCCCACGGACATAAGAGCCTATTGGACTAGTCTACAGGGTCGAAAAAGAGTTGGACACCACTTGGTGACTAAACAACAACAACTCCACTTATAATAAAATATTGACTACATTCCCTGTGTTACGCAATATAACATTGCAGCTTATTTTACACATAACAGCTTGTACCCCTTAATCCCCTAACCCTATTTTACCCCTTCCCCTTCCCTCTCTCGACTGGTAACCACTACAACATTCTCTTTCAATAAAGTTATCGTCTTTAGACATTTCAAGGGTCTTTCACATTTCACATTTCAAATAAACATGAAAAATGTTCAGACACAGCCTGAAAAGAGATTGGATTTCTTATGTTGTTTCAAAGAAGGAGAAAAATGTCACTGGGACTCAAACCTTGGCACTGGAGGCTCAGGAGCCTCGAAATTAAAAAAACAAAAAACAAAAAACAAAAAAACGGTCTCCCAGTTTTCCTCTAAAAGTGGTAAGTTCTGTTCTCAGACAAGGCAAAAACCAAACCAAACCAAACCAAAAAAACTCCAAGACCAACAAAACAAAACAAACCCCCAAACAACAACAACAAAAGACTTCCATAAAACGCTCAAATCAAAACCCCAAACACAAAAACTCAACACACAAATCTGAGTGCAAAAGACAAAAAAAGAAATTGCGCATTCTGGCAGCAGGGTTTCTAAGCTGGATGTTCTTCAAAGTTTTTGCTCCAGCATCAGGAAAGTTCTAAATATATGTAAGTGTATTTTCTGCCCTAAAATAGTCTCACATTGAGTCACATCTCCAAATAAGTCCTGTAACATATCAGGGGGTGGCTGTGTTGTTAGTGTGGGAGGGAAGGTTGATGGTTGTGGGGTAAAAATATCAGCACATGTATTTGTATGAGGTTTGAGGCTTTTCCAAATGTGTTCCTCTTTGTCATCATCCTTCGATCCCTGCACCAGCTCCCAGAGATGGTCAGGGCAGAGATAGTTTCTCCCTATTTGGAAGGTGAGAAAGATGGAGAAGCCCAGAGAGGTCAAGTAACAAGCTCAAGGTTACTCAGTGTGTTAGTGGCACAGCCTGCGTTAGAACTCGGGTCTCCTTGAGACCGGGGAGTGGCCTTCGATGCTGCAGCATCGGGCATGCGCACGTACATACTCATCGCCATGCGCGCGAGAGGAACGCCGGGCAAGCACGATCACACAGGTGCATCCTACACATGCATGTGAGCACACACACACACGCACACATGTGCACATATGGATGCTCTACCTGCGCTGGCTGTCACGAACTGCAGCCAGACCGTGGACTTCTTTGTCACCACGGGAGAGGGGAGGAGGCCCTTTACGGGGAAAGAAACGCAAGGGTTCCGGGTACCTAGAGCGGAGAATGGATGGTGCCCTATCTCTCCCTGGAGGAGGGGTGAGGGGGACGTGCTGAAGGCCACCAGGATGTGGTGGGGAGGAGAGAGGCAGAGAGGGTGAGGAATAAGATGCTGGTCTTAAGAACAAAAGGAGGGCTGACGACCAGGGACTCAGCTGTCCCCTGGGTATGGGATGTAGGCAAGTTTGGCAACGTGTACTTGGCTGAAAGAGAACCAAGAGGGATGTTCTGCAGAACGCAGCCTCTGAATGCCAGTCAGGGAATTCCCTGGCAGTCCAGTGGGTAAGACTTCACCTCCAAGCGCAGGGGTGCAGGTTCCAATCTTGGTCAGGGAGCTAAGATCTCACATGCCTTTTGGCCAAAAAACCAAAACATAAAACAGAAGCAGTACTGTAGCAAATTCTATAGAGACTTTAAAAGTGGCCCACATTTAAAAAAAAAAAACAAAATAAACAACAAATAAAATGCCAGCCAGCGATGACATCCAATGCTCAGCTTAAGACCTACTCCATGGTGGAAGCAACACCATGTGTGATGCTCTTGAAGAAAGGCAGCTTATTACTCCCAGGTTGTTTGTTCTCTGCTTTGAGGAGATTTAAGGGCTTTTCAAGGGTAATTTTGGTTACAAGTGTTTGTCACCTTATGAAATATCTTTAGAATCCAACCTCATGTTAGGTGCAGTTTTACCAGTAACATCTTTTGACCTCAGGCATTTTCTTTGCCTTAGGAGGTATCTTGTTTGAAGTCAGCCTCCACATGAGTGGATGCAACTCTGCCATGAACATCAGATGGAGAAGTTCTAGGGGAAGAAGCTCTGATTCTGAATGTAAGCTTCCAAAGGGTGGAGTAATAAGAACTATATTTACGTGTCACTTAACTTCTCATGGGGCTTCCCTATGGCTCAAGCAGTAAAGCATCTGCCTGCAATGCAGGAGACGTGGGTTCCATCCCTGGGTCAGGAAGATCCCCTGGAGAAGGAAATGGCAATCCACTCCAGTATTCTTGCCTGGTAAATCCCTTAGAGGAAACTGGCAGGCTACAGTCCATCGGGTTGCAGAGTCGGACATAACTGAGCACACATGCACAGCTTCTCATAGGATGCTGATATCTATTTTTACCTTGATTCTTACAAATTAGAAAGTTCACACAGGTAGAATAAACCCAATTTGATGGAAAAAGAAACTGAGGCACAGGGCTGTAAGGTGATTAAAGACCAGAATGTCCACCTCAGTAGACCACAGACACCCACTGGCTAAAATAAGTCACAGAGGGACTTCAGGACACAAAAGTATCCAGAACTCAGAGGTGAACCCCAGATGCCAAGAGACAACTTTCGGTTTCCCTCCCCGAGTGCCACGGGACACCGGTGGGTCATTTACTTACTTCCTTTCCTCGTGCACAGAGTTAGGGTTCCTCATTTCCATCAAAGCGCAGCCAAATTTCTGGAGGTCGAAAGAGACAAGCGGGATGTGAGGCAGATATGATTAAATTGGGAATGGGTTTGGGCAGAGGGTCTGGGGGTCCCAACTGGCAAAAGAGGAGCCTGATGCCTGGGGTCCAGGGTGTCAGGGGCTTGGGCCAGTGGTGTGCGTGGAAGAGGACTGTTTATAAAGGGCTATAATTGTGGATGCTCCCCCCCTCCACTCCCCGCCCCACCTCAGCACGCAAATTCCCTTTGTGGTGGTTTTCTACAAAATATTGTCCCTGCTTCTCTCATCTGGAGCAGGGGACACCAAGCTCTTGACTGGAGCATCCATTCCAAAGAAGTAGTGAGCTCAGGTGACAACATTTTCAGGAGGGCTCGGCTGGTCAGCGGACACCAACAGACTGAGGATTTGGAGTTGTCAAGTCTTGGCACAACCTGGACCCAAATTGAGGTCACTGGCTTTGAGACTCTGGGAGGATTTGCTACTGAAGAGCAGGCGTCACTGCTGGCCCTCTTCTCTGCAGATGGAAACAGGTGCCAGAACAGGTAATAGGAGCTCATCTCACCTCCCCATTCTCAGGGGGGTCTCCATTGCCGAAGGTGCTGGTAACCACCAGGACCAGAGTTTCATGTTCCAGGTGGACAATGTCATATTCTTCCATGGACATCACCTAGGTGGGAGATCGAGAGGGGAGAAGAGGGAGAAGGTGATGAGGAGAGAGAAGGGGTAGGAGAGAAAAAGTGATGGGGGAAGAGAAGAGAAGAGAGGAAGAACAGGAGTTATCTTGAGCCATCTCCTTAGGACAGAGATCCAAAGGTTCTGGGTGCCACTGTTCCCATGGGCCCACGTGGGCAGAACTAAAAGCTTCTTGGTAGTATGGGCTGCCTGTGCCCTGAAGGACCAGAGAGTCTGGGGCAATGCGTTGGCTACCAGTAGAGGCAGACCTTGACTGGGACTCCTGGGCCTCTTACAGCCAAAGTATGCTGAGTCTTCTTGACCACATGTAGGCTGGGAATGACCCAGCTGGATCTGACCAACTGTGTGCTCAGGTTCCTTTCTAATCCTCCCTCCAGCAGTGTGGAGGACCTGAGCCAAACACGTCAGTGCACTAAGTCACTTCAGCCCTAAAACTGTTTACAACCCTATGGACTGTAGCCCATCAGGCTCCTCTAACCACGGGATTCTCCAGGCAAGGATAGTGGAGTAGGTTCCCATACCCTCCTCCAGGGGATCTTCCGACCCAAGGATCAAACCTGTGTCTCTTTAGTCCTGCACTGGTGCACCACCTGGGAAGCCCACCTTGAAGATTGCTTTGCCCTATCTCTTAGAATTCCTTGGGTACCATTTCTCAAAGTAGGTCCTAGGAAAACACTGTCTCCTTAGATGTGCTTTAAAAATAAGTGAGCCATAAGCAAACATCTTTGGGAAACATTTATATTCTCTCCTCTCCTCTTTTGGAGATGGTAACACACATGTGCAGAGCAAAGGCTCTCAGAATTCCCGCAGCAAAGAAACCCACTGAATTGTATTAAATGCGGGGCTTCCCAGACTGACTTCCAGATTTGTTTTTCAGAAACTTTCTAACATTTTGGTCTAGAACGGGGGGGTTATGATTCCTGAACTCCTGAAGAGTTCACAGGGAGAGAGGCATCATTGTCCCTTGAAATACATGCAGGTGGGCTGACAGGCATCTTCAGATGTGCTGTTACCTACTCTCAAAGGGTTCTTCTCTGCTGACTTCCTCTGTTCCCTCCCCAACTTCACCAGGAGGGCCCAGAGAGCAATGGAACTGCCTGCTACCTACCTTGGCATCAAAGGCATGTTTGAAGATCTCACATAAGGTTTTGGCATAAGCCTGCGACTTGCCCGTCTCTGTGGCATAAAGGATGGTAGCCTTAACCCTCTTGGCCATAGCCTGCCCCATCAGTTTGGCTGAGAACTTGACGGCTCTGTGGGGGAAGAGGGTGGAGAGAAAGACGGGAAATGTAGAAGGGAGGGAGGATGTCAGGCTGGGACTTGGGGGCAAGAACCATGATCCATGAGATACAACAGGAGGGAACATACTCTCCTCATCTCTGATGGCGTCAGAGATACTCAAAGTGTGAGTTGAGGCATCATATTGATCCCTTTCTTAAGTCCCTCCAGAGCAACTAGTCATGAGCTAACATGGTTGGTGAGCTTTGTTAGTTTGTTACTTGATGGATTGATCCCAGCCATGAGAACCTTGGTTTGCCAAGCATTGCCTCAAAAGATGACCATTCATTCATCCATTCACTCATTTGGTCACTCATCATGTGTTTTGTTGAGGCCTAGCTATGTGCCAGGCGTTGTTATAGGAATGGAAAAACAGAGAAATGGCTGTCATGGGGCTTCCATTCTTACGTGTGTGTGTGAGAGACAGACAGAGAGAGAAAATGAATCACTAATAAATGAACAGGCATTGAGCTTGAGGGGATTTTAGAGGTTTATAACTCCACAAAAGAAGGACCAGGTCTGGTTTAGTCGGCCTTGCACATCCAGAGTTTTGCAAAGGGTGATTCTTAATAGGCACTAAATATCTATCAAGAGCAGGAATAGATTTTAAACCTGCTGCTACCACCAAAGCCCCTGGGAGCTTAAATGTCAAGTCAGGACTCTTTCTGGTTAAATGGAGGATCCAGAAACAGTGTTTCTTCTTTCTCATCTATGAGGGTGTGGGCTTGGCAGGTGGGCCAGAGGCTCAGGAATGCCTATGTTCACCTTCCAAGCAAGCATCCCTGTTCTAAGTAGGAATCTCTTTGAGTAGATAAATTGCTAATTACCCTCACCTGGGGATTATTGGTGGTAAATTCATCATTTTTAGACACAGGGAAGCCACCCACGCTGCCTGAGAGTTAAGGGGGAGAAACAGAAAAGAATAAAAGGCACCTGGAGGGTTCCCTTTGAATGATCAGAGCAGAAAAAAGCATCTGTAATTAACTCCCATTGTTTCTACCTCAAACTTAATAGTGCAATTAATGCTTTAGATTTTTCCCTCCCTTCTTCCCTCAGAGACAGGTTGAACTGAACTGAAGCCAAAGGCTACTATGCCTGAGAACTGGTGATGCTCTCGTTAGGGAAGGGGTGGCTGCTGATGTGGTCCAGCTTGGCTGGAAGAGAACTGTTAGGTAGAAGGAGAGAGAGGAGGGAGGGAAGGAGAGATCCCATGGACCATATGTGTGCAGCCAGGACCTAGGTTTCAGTCACTGCAAGATCTACCAGTCACCTGTAGAGAGCAGAAAGTTCTAGAACCAAGGGGCTGAGGAAAGTGTGCTAGTGGGCTCAGTGCACACTAGCTCCTCTGCCAAAATAAGGGGTCTGTGAGGAGTGGATCAGGAGTTCTCTGTCTTTAGACAGAAGGCAGGCATCCGCATTAAACCATCTCAGTCGGCCCCACCCTACTTGTCCCCTGGCTGACCACAGTTCTTCAGGACAATAGCTCTCAAGTAGCCTTGGTCCCTAATGCTCTCCCCTCCTTTTCTCAGTGAAATCCTTCTTCATTTCATTCATTAACTCAACTGGCATCTCCTGAAGGAAGCCTCCTTTGATGTCTCAGACTCGGTGACGTCTATGCTGGGCTTCCATGAATCCTTCCTCCAGGGTAGCTGTGAGCTTCATGCCGGCAGGATCACATTATCAGGCTTGTCAGTGCCTGGCACTGAGTATCCATTTTTGTTGGCCAGATGAGTGAATTGGAGGAGCGAGATGAGATTCAGCCCTGATGACTGTCCACTCTAGGCAGTGGTGTGCTGGAGCCAGCTCATCCCAGCTCCTCCTAACTCTGGCTTCAGTGACTTCCTGTTGGGAGCTTGAAACTGGCTATAGTGGGAATATTTACACCATGGAAATTGGCAAATGTTACAAGTCTATTAATGTTATATTACTGGGGCCACCATTATTATTAGGAGAGCTGGTTTATCAACACAACACTGCCTCCAGGACAAGAATTTGGGAACCTGGGGGTGGGAAGAGAGGTTAGGAAGCAGAAGGGTCATGGCAATGTTCACATCCCAGACTCTGGGGCAAAGGAGGGACAAGGGTATTGGAGAAAATGGAGAAGTCACGTTACCCAAGAGGTCACAGGCACAGCATCCTCCCAGCCTTCTTTTCTGGGGCTCTCTGAATTTAGGAACACATACATAGCCCCTCCCTACCTGCCTTAGGAGACTTACTCTGCCAGCTTCTTGAAGCCGATGGCTCGCCGCTTTGTGGGGGTTCCATTGGTACCTTTCCAGACATGGGTGTTCCAAGGGTCAGGCTGGGGAGAGAGAACCATGGTCAGCACAGTGAGGGAGCCTGGTTCCCCTTGGGAGATGCCCAGGAACCCTGGGGGCTTATGGCTGCCTGGCCACGCCCAACCCTTAGCCCTCAAAGGGAGTGAGTCTGCCGGCGGCAACCCCCGGGGACCTGGCAGGGTGGCTGGCACAGCCTCCCTGCACTGTCCTGCCAGACCTTCCCACTCAGACCCTCTCCGACTCATGACCCCTGACTACTTGTTTCAGTTTCATTTGTCTTTCAGCTCGAGTTGTACTGTCCAATCTCATGGCTGCACTTGAGAGTCTGAAATGCAAGTTTGAACTGAGATGTGCTCTAAGCCAGCAGACCCCAACCTTTTGGGCACCAGGCACCATTTTTGTAGAAGACAATTTTCCCACAGACCCGGGTGGGCGGGGGATGGTTTCAGGATGATTCAAGCGCATTCCATTTATTGCACACTTTATTTCCATTATTATTGCATCAGCTCCACCTCAGCTCATCAGGCATTAGATCCTGGGGTTTGGGGACCCCTGCTCTAGTTGTAGCATGCACACTGGCTATTGGAGATTTGGGACCAAAGAGGTGAAGAGGGGTGGGACCTGGTATTCGAAGGAGGGTGTGAGCCGGTAGTTGAGCATCTCCTGGTGGAAGACGGGGGTGATGCTGCCCGACATGGGGGGCACGATCCACACCCAGTCAGCGGGGCAGCCCCCCCGGCAGCGGTATTCGTTTTCCATGTGCTTAATGAAGGACTCGGTGGCGGAGTGGTGGTCAACGATGGTCACCTTGTCACTCTGTGGGAGGAGAGGACACCAGGAGTCAGGAGGAAAGACACGCTGGGCTATTTCGGGGCTCCCTCACCCCCAGAGAAGTGTTTCCTAAAGGGTGGTCCTGGGGATGATTCTAGGCAGTGTAAAGCGATTCTCTGCATTGTCTTTTTTTCCGGTCCTGATCATATCCAGGAAAAAGACTCTGTGCTGTGCTTAGTCACTTAGTTATGTCTGACTCTTTTCGACCTCATGGACTGCAGCCTGTCAGGCTCCTCTGTCCAATGGGGATTCTCCAGGCAAGAAGACGAGAGTGGGTTGCCATGCCATCCTCCAGGGGATCTTCCCAACCCAGGGACCGACCCCAGGTCTCTCTCATTGCAGGCGGATTCTTCACTGTCTTAGCCACCAGGGAAGCCCAGAGAGACTCTGTTTGATGCTAATTCGTCTTTAACATTTCTCTTGCCAATATTCCTCTCTCCTTCCTCCCCCCCCTTTTTTTTAAACGAGAGAGGAAACTCAGGCAACTAGAATCTGACAACTTGGTGCTGTTTCCCTTGTATTTGTTTATATATTTATTGAAGTTTACCATTCTCTTGTTTATGGCAAATGATACTGGTTCTCCACTTATGACGGTGATACAGAATCCTTTTTTTAAATTGGAGTATAATTACTTTACAATGTCGTGTCAGTTCCTGCTGTACAGTGAATCAGCCGTCTGTGCACATCGAGCCCCTCCCTCTTGAGCCTCCCCCTCCCCACTCCTCCCCTCTAGGTCCTCACAAAGCACCGAGCTGAGCTCCCCGTGCTGACAGCAGGTTCCCACTAGCTACCCGTTTTACACTTAGTATATTATATGTCCTCTCACATCTCTGCTGTCTGCGGCTCGCCAACCTTCATACCAGTCCACCAGACCACCAGAGCATCCGCCTTCATTTTCAGCAACTCCCCAAACTTCACTCCTCCGTGGTCAAGAGTGAAGGGAGGGGGCTTCTTGCCCCTTCAACCCCATCTCAGCTGGTTTCTGCCCTGGGATATACATTTCCCAGTTTGCCCAGTCTCCCTGTTCCTGACATGGGGACACGTGGTTCATATTCAGGTCTTTATATGACTTGATATGCTCATTCTACTGCCTGTGGGTGCCTCCCATGTATGTCTATGAGGGTCCAGCTCTGCAGACTGTCACTCCTAGAAGACAGAGCTGGTCTCTACTACAGGAAGTGACCTCTCTTCTATGGGTCTCCTGCTTTGCCCAAGAGAATCCCAGCTTATGCCCATGTGCTGTCACAGTTATTAGTGGTGCCCCCACTTTGCTCTCTAAAGTGTCATGGTTTAGCAGATAATCTTTTATTGGCTGTGCTGTATGGCATGCAGGATCTTAGTTCCCTGACCAGGGATCGAACTTGGGCCCCCTGAAGTGGAAGCTCGGAGTCCTAACCACCGGACCAGCAGGGAATTCCCTAGTTGATAATTTTTAAAACCATCATACTATATATATAATGGGCTTCCCTGGTGGCTCAGTGGCAAAGAATCTGCCTGCCAATGCAGGAGATGCAGGTTTGATCCCTGGGTCAGGAAGATCCCCTGGAGAAGAAAATGACAATCCGCTCCAGGATTCTTGCCTGGAGAATTCCATGGGCAAAGGAGCCTGGTGGGCTACAGTCCATGAGGTTTCAAAGAGTCAGACATGACTTAGCAACTAAACAACTACTCAACTATATATATTTTAGCATTTACCATGGAGCCACATGCACTGGGGGGCCTATATGTCTCTGATCATGATGATGAATATTTGTCTCTGCTATGTGAAAGTCTGAGTGTCTAAGAGGTCAAGACACAGAGGATGTTTACCATTTCAATTCTAAAAAAATCAAGCAACAAGTCATAAACCCTCTATCTTTTTGTCTCTCCCTCAAATGGTCCCCCTCCCCCAAGATCCATGATGGAGAGTCAAGCATACATGATGGGAAGGACACCTTGCTTATGAGCAGAGCCCTGCAAACAAGGTTCCTGGGAGCTGGGCTCTTCACCTTCTGCCCTACGACTCTGAACGTTTTTAGTTCCCCTTTGTGGCCTGGCAGCCGGGAGGCGTGCCCTGGCGCTACCTGGAAGCTGTACAGAACTGCAATATTGATCTCCACCAGGGCCTGGTCCTTCCACAGAGAGGATGTCTTCCTCATGTCCAAGTTCATCTTCTTGGCCACATCCTGAAGGGGAAGGAAACACAGACTCACAGGCCGGGTTCCCTCTGGGTTTCAGGCTAAAGAGGGACTGGGCTAGCATCACCAATAAAATTCTTCATTAATTAATGAACTCATATGCAGACTAATTCACTCAAAAATTTTTTTTTATTGAGGACATACTGGTAGCAGGAAACTAGAGGGACTTGACTGGCCCTTTGGTTACTGAGCTTACCTTCTAGAGGGGGGGAGAGGCAGAAAATAATACTGTGATGAGTGTTAATTCCTAGGAAGAAAATAAGGCAAGGAACTAGGAGAAAGAGGGATATAGGGCAGGATGCTCTGAACCAGGATAGTCACTGAAGGACCACTGCAACGGTGGCGCACACATGAGATCCAAATGATGGGAAGCAGCAAGACGTTTGAAAATCTTGGGAGCAAATGTTCTAGGCAGAAAGAACAGTATGTGCAAAGGCCCTGGGGTGGGATCAGGCTGGTGTTGAGATACAGAAAGAACGTCAATGTATTTGAATGATAGGGAGTCAGGGGGACGCAGGACTCTGATGAAAAAGAGAGACGCAGGACTGGATTATGCAGGGTGTGTGAAGAGGTCAGGATTTTATTTCAAATATGATGAGGAGGATCTTTGAAGGGCTTTAAGGAGCTATTCAGGTTTGGGAGTGATAGCAGTTGCTTTCTATCTTTTTTTTAAAATTCTTTTTCTTTCTTATCATCACTACTTTCTATTGGGGAAAACTCTCCACCCATTCCATTTCATCTCTGGAGTGGCCGCTACTTGTAATCTAGATCATGAGTATTTAGAGTTTATGGAGACACCTGTCGACTCCATTTGACAGATGAGGAAACCGAGGTTAAGACTGCTGCACAGACTTGCTTGCAGTCCACAGAGCCAGTTGGCCTCAGAGCTGGAGCCCAGGGAGTTAGTTGAGTAACACCCAAGACCTGGGAGTGGCTCCCCAGCCAGCTGACTCCTTTGGCAAAACTGCTTGGCAAAAACAACCCCTGACATTTAAGTTACGGCTCCAGCTCCAGTAGGAGCCAATGTCAGAAGCAGGGAAGACCCAATAGCAAATCCATTAATTAGAGCCTGGCTTCTCACTTCCTCTGTCAATTCTAGTCATTTGTGGGAACCTAGGTCTCATTATGGGGCTAGAATGTGACAATTTCCCAAGTTTGAGTAAATTGCTTCGCAGGCCCAGCTGTCAACATTTGTACATAATGGCAGTCAGTGTCGGAAGGCTGGGGCGGGAGCGGGTCTCATTTAAGTTACCCAGTGACTACTCTCTGCAATCGAAATGTGAACCTGAATCATGCAAGCAGACATTAATTTACTCTTTGGAGACTGGGGCGTTAGGTTCCATTTGGGGGTCTTTTAGCGGTGACACAAACGCAAAGAGTAGGAAATTGGCTGCTTTACATAAATACATATAAAACTTGAGTTATTTTATATAAGAGAGTGTGTACAGTCAGTCATGCTGCTATTGTTATTTCTACCACATTATTTTGGTTAAAACAATCGAAATTAGTTGTAGCGTCATCTAATGACTTCTTTTAAGTCATATGTATTAAGTCAAATACATATGACTTAAAAAAATCCCCAAACATGACTTGAGCCACATCTCTGGAAATTGCCTAGAAATGTTTTTTCCTTCGGAGTTTGTATAGATCAAATGTCAGAGGTATTGGTTTGGTAACATTTATATATTGCAGTATAATTACTGCTGTAGGGTGAGTAACACCTCTATCCAGTCACATAATTACCATTTCTTTTTTTTGTGGTGACATTAAGATATAGTTTCTCTGCAACTTTGAAATTCATAACACAGTATCATTATTGACTATAACAACTACGCTGTGCATTAGATCTCCAGGACTTATCTACAAGTTATAAGTCTGTACACATCAACAAATATCTTTCCCAGTTCTCCTGTCAGCTGCCCCTGCCAACCAGCCTCCCCGCCACCCCCTCACAGCCCCTGGTAACCACCACTCACCTCTCTGTTTTATGGAATTTAGCTTTTTTAGATTCCATATAGAAGTGAGATCACCCAGTATCTGTCTTTTTATGTCTGATTTATGTCATTAGCATAATGCCCTCAAGGTCCACCCAGGTGAATGTCCCTGGATTTTTAACACTATAAACCTAACGCTTGACTCTGAATTCGAATTTTGCTCTGTGCTCCGTTTACTGTGTGACACGGCTCAGGGCTTAACTTCTCTGTTCCTCAGTGTTTTCTTTTGAAATAAGGCCAACCACAGCAGACTGTTGTTAGAGACAGCATTTGCTGACAAAACCGCAGCGATGCTGACACATTCAGCAAAGCGGAGCTCCAGGGAGCAGTCCGCCCCAGCAATGTTCAGTAGATGAAGATGACTCAGCCTGGGGTGGGGGTAGCAGGGGAATGGGGGGTGGGGAGTCAGACCCTCCACTGAGAAATGCACATGGTGGGAAAAATCACTGCCAACGCTCCCTCCTTGTTTTTTCAGAAAAGAGACCAAAAATGCCCCAAGTTCATGCCCCTTCCCAAAGCTTCTAGCCAGGTTTGACCTTGACAGGCAGGGCAGTAGAATGGTTATGAACTTGGGTCATAATACCAGCCTGGGTTCACACCCCAGCTCTGACACTCCCTAGCTGTGTGACTCTGAACTTGTCATGTTAATCCACCAAAAGGCCTCAGTTTCCTCACCTGTGAAGGGGGGATTTTCACACCCGGAGGATGTGATGAAGATCAAATGAGTATACAATAATCTGCAAAGCGCTTGGAGTGGCACTCAGCATATTGCACACATACTCTTAATGCCACGGAAGCCTTCAGAAAGGCCAGAGGCTTCCTTATAGCTGCAGGTTCTGTGTTAATTTCTTCCAGTTTCTGAGCCTCAGAGCTCAGCTGTGGGGAAGGACCACTGAGCCCATTGCCCCCCACCACATGCATCCCCTGTCAGGATGGCCTGGGAAAGGCTTCACCTCCAGGATGTTGTATCGGGAGCTGTCGCAATAGTCGCGGACGCCAATCTCTGTGCCCATGTACCAGCCGCTGAAGGGACAGGCACTGAACTCCAGGCCGCCGATCTCCAGGAGCATGTTGGACACAGCGGGGAGGCCGTACCACTTCAGTCCAAGGTCCTTGAACCACTCGAGCCTGTGGAGAGTAACACAGCCCAGCTTGCTGTGGGATGTGGGACGGGAGCCTCAGGGGAAGACACGTGGGCAGGATCTCCTTAGCCTGGGGATGCCGAAATGCCAGTGACTGACTGGGGCTTACTACTTTGGAACCTGATTTCTGGGCTCACGTCTGACCTGTGGAATCACACTGCCATCCACATCAGAGGCTGGAGAATATGCACTTTCACATATTTCCCAGGTGATTTGCATGGACATCCAGGCCTGGGAACCACTGCCATGGGCTGCTCTCTATCCCCTAAACTCACCTGGAAGGTGAATTCAGGAGAAAGCGAGCATCGCTGAGTTCCTTTTTCTTTTCTATTTTTAATTAATTTTTGTTTTGTATTAGGGTAGAGCCAATTCACAACGTTGTGGTAATTTCAGGTGAACAGTGAAGAGACTCAGCCATACATTTACATGGATCCACTCTCCCCAAAACTCCCCTCCCATCCAGGCTGCCTCATAACATTGAGCAGAGCTCCCTGTGCTACTCAGTAGGTCCTTGTTGGTTATCCATTTTAAATATAGAGCCGCTGGGTTCCTTCTGACCTCAGGGCCTTTGCATGGCAGTTTCTTCCTCCTCTTTTCTTCCTGTGCCTGTCCAGCTCTTACCCATGCTTTCATCCTCAGCTAAAATGCTGCTAACTCTGGGAAGCCTTCTCTGATGCCCAATCTGGGATGGGTCAGACACTTTCATGCCTCTAGGTACCATAACATTTATTTTGCAACACTTGATTGGAATTAAGTGGTTTGTTTGGGTAACTGATTTCCTTTTTGAGATTGAAAGCACCACAGAGGTGGGGACCAAGCCAGTGACAAAGGCCTGAACAATACACGACCCAGAGTGGGAATAATAAACAGTTTTGAATGATAAGTGAATGAATGAATGGAGGCCAAGTTTCACCGTTGAAGCTGGTTGAGCTCCCAGATATCGGGCAGTGTCAGGAGCCTTAGGACGCTTGCTCCATCTCCAGGGCCTGGAGCAGGGTGGGCAAGTAAGGCCCTGGCCTTGGGTGCAAAATTGAGGGGCACCAACCCAGTAATCAAGATCAAATATTCTAAATTAATTCAATGTCTTTAAAAAAAAAATTAACACAAAACCTCCACGATGAACAAAACATCAAAACTTTACATAAAGACAGGATCCCACTCTGCACTTGTATATTTTACCTCACCTGCTTACCTTAATCTCAGTCCTGAACTTTTCCTTGTTTAAGAATTTTGATACATTATGCATCACGGATTTAAAAAGCTAATCTTGATTTTTTTAAATTACATTAAAATACTATTTATTTGATGACTGATTTTTTTGGTGCTTTCTCCATCAATTTCGCTCCTGAGGCCAGGTCTTATTGTGGACTTCTTTTACTCTCAAAAACTGTAAATTCTATTTGCGTTGCTGGCCTCAGCCCTCACAGCGCCATCCCAACTCCAAACTACTTTTGAACTTGAGCCGCATCAGGTCACATAGTTTTCAATGCTTCCCTCTATTTAAAATTTGCACCCATAACAATACAGGAAGTGCTTCTGCTCTTTCGCCCCTTGTGTGTGTGTGTGTATGTTGGTCGCTTTAGTCATGTCTGACCCTTTGTGACCCCATGGACTATAGACCACCAGGCTACTCTGTCCATGAGATTCTCCAGGCAAGAACACTGGAGTGGGTTGCCATTGCCTTCTCCAACTTCAGCCCTTAGGGTTGGAAAATGGATAGGTCCAGGGTGATGGCTTAAAAGGGGTGGGGTAAAGAGGGAAATTTTTAAAGAATTGAAGTATAGTCGATATATAATATTATATAAGTTACAGGTGTACAATATAGTGATTCACAAATTTTAAAGGTTACATTCCATTTATAGTTGTTGTAAAATACTGGGTATATTGGGGCTTCCCTGGTGGCTCAGAAAGTAAAGAATCTGCCTACAATGTGGGAGACCTGGGTTCGATCCCTGGCTTGGAAAGATCCATTGGAGGAGGGCATGGTAACCCACTCCAGTATTCTTGCCTGGAGAATCCCATGGACAGAGGAGCCTGGCAGGTTACAGTCCATGGGATCTCAAAGAGTCGGACATGACTGAGTGACTAAGCACACAGCACTGGCTATGTTCCCTACGTTGTACAATATATTCTTGTAGCTTATTTATTTTATCCATAACGGTTTTTACCTCTTTATCCCCTAGACCTCTACTGCCCCTCACCTATTTCGTCTCCCCACTGGGAGCATTATTATTATTATTCTCTATGTCTGTATTCTCTATATTCTGTATATCTGTATTCTCTATCTCCTTGTTTTTTGTTATATTCACTAGCTTGTTGTATTTTCTAGGTTCTACACCTAAGTGATATCATATAGTATTTGTCTTTCTCTATCTGACTTATAAGGAGGGGGATTTTGATTCAGAAAATATGATGGTCCCTCCGGGTGAAGGAGGAATTACTGATCTCGAGGGAACCTGCCTTGCCTTGGCCCCATGGTGAAGATAGGAACCAAAACCCCCTTTCAGCCTGTGTCTGGGCTGGAGAGACAGGAGCGGGCTCCGGGGTTGGGCAGAGAGGGGCACTGGGTAAACTCCCTCCCCCTCCCCACGCCAGGCCTCTTACTTGGGGTGCCTGATGGGGACTTCCAGCACCAACTCTGGAGGGATCTGGAAGAGCTCCGGGTCGTTGCCGTTGGCCTGGAGCAGGAGCGGCAGGACATCAAAGCGGCTTCGTGGGGGTTTCCAGCCCTGCTGTATGCAGATCTGCAAGCCAAGCCACCAGGTCAAACCACTGAGCCCCAGGCCCTCCAGAGGCAACAGCGGTGAGGGGAGGGGCAGAGGTCCCAGGGCCTGCCCCCCAGTGGCCCCTTCCTCTGGAGGCTCCAGGCCAGGCCACCTCCTTCATGAAGTTCTCCCTGACATCATCTGGTAACTAGTACAACTTCCCGTTCTTCCACGGGATGGAAGACAAACCTGTCCTCTGGCCCCTCACTTGGTGATGTTTTCCGGGCCTTCCCTGCCCTCTGGGAACTCCCAGAGCAAGGGTTGAACTGACACTTGCATTGGAAGTATTTGCACTCGGTGCCCTGAGTGCAAAGACATGAAGAAAATCTACCAAACTGGATGAGGGCAGATCTCTCAGAATGACCACAGAAAAATGCACCTGTTAAAGCAGCTATCCATCGAAATATAAAGCCAGCCATGCAAGTAATTTAAAATTTTCTAGCAGACACATTTTAAAACGTATTAAAAAGACACCCCAAAACCCTAAAGCAAAACCAGGCAAAGATAAATTTAAATAATATATTCATTTGAAACAGTTTTAATTTCAATAATATTTAATTAGTTATTAATTATAGCATGATATTGATTATATAAATAGTAGTAGTAATTTATTAACACTATACTAAAACATTAATATAAAATATGAATAATATAACCACATGTTAAAATAGTATCGATATATTATTAATATTTATATAAAATATTAATGATATATAAATATTATATGATATTGATAGCATATATAACTATAAACTATAATATTAGTATTTTAATAGGGGCACAGTGGTGAAGAACCCACCTGCCAATGCAGGAAACACAGAGTCAGACACGACTGAATGACTGAGCAGGTGCAGAAGCGTGCAAGCGCACACGCGCGCACACACACACACACACACACACACACATGGCGTGGTTCAGTCACTAAGTTGTATCTGAATATTCTGTGACCTCATGGACTGTAGCCCACCATACTCCTCTGTCCATGGGATTTCCCCACTAAGAATACTGAAGTGCGTTGCCATTTCGTTTTCTGGGGGATCTTCCCAACCCAGGAATCGAACCCGTGGCTCCTGCGTTGGCAGACAGATTCTTTACTTCTGAGCCACCAGGGAAACCTTTTTAACAGTATATTTGGCACTAAAATTAAATATGAAAATATTAATTCAATAAAATATAAAATATATAGAATTAAAACACCATTAACTGATTAATAATAAATAATATATTTAAAGATATTTAACATAAAATTAACTATGTGTTAATACAATAAATGTATTAGTTTATTAATAAATAGAAATAAATTAGTCCCATATTACCCACAACACTATTTTTCATGTTTTTCATATTTTTCAGGTAATCAAGATACAAATTACTAATGAGATCGTTCCACTCTTTTTTTGTTCTCCATCTTGCAGACTGTGTGCCTTACACTTAGGACACATTTCCATCTGGACTCACAGCATTTCATGTGGTCAGTGGCTAGGTGCGGCCAGTNTTCAGGTAATCAAGATACAAATTACTAATGAGATCGTTTCACTCTTTTTTTGTTCTCCATCTTGCAGACTGTGTGCCTTACACTTAGGACACATTTCCATCTGGACTCACAGCATTTCATGTGGTCAGTGGCTAGGTGCGGCCAGTGGCTGCCATGCTGGGGCTTTGGAAAGTTACAGTTATGTGCTTATGTTTGGGGTGATTCCCTCTGCTGGGCTGGTGGACAGAGGAAGCACAGAAGTGTGGGTTTAGGAGAGCATGTGGTATCAGTGAGGTTCCTGGAGACAGAAGGAGAGGAAGAGGCTGTGGCATGTCTGTTCTGGCCGCCACAAGGACAGGGTGAGCCAAGTATACAGTTAGAGCTCAGCCAGGTGGAGCAGAGTCTGGCTGAGGCTAAATGGCACAGGTGTGACTCCTGGTCACCCTGCTTACAACCCCCTTCCCAGGATAATAACATTTTAACATGAAAAGCTCCCTGCAAATGAAGTTGGCAGCCAAGAGGATGGGGGGCAGCTCCCTCATGGGGAAGGTACTGGGGTGAGGCATGAGGGTGGTCTGAGAAAAGAACAAGGATGAAGCAGAACGGTGGCTGAGTGGGTGACAAGTAAAAGAGGGTACCAGGCCTGTATGCCTGAGGTGTTCCAGGTGTGGGGTCAGCCTATGATACCTCCTGTGGGCACAGGTGCTGGAAGCTTCCAGGCCGTACCTATGCTACCTGTGTACACCACCACCTGGAAGGAACCTGGATGGGGAGAAGGTGGTGTTTGTGTTCCCAGTGGCTTGTATGAACTGACTTGAGCTGCCAGCAATAGTGGGGTGTTGGAGAGTCAAGTTCACCCGGAGAGGGGTTGGGTGGGTGGGTAGCAATGCTGTACAGAGACATGAATAAAAGGATGAAGGGGACGAGGCTGACATATACCTCACTCAGAAAAGAGGGCGCCAGGGACTCCCTCATGGCTAGGACTCTGCACTCCCAATGAGGGAGGCTTGAGTTCAATCCCTGGTCAGGGAACTAGATCCTACATGCCGCAACTAAGAGTTTGCATGCCACAACTTAAGAGTCCACATCGACTAAAAGACCCCACATGCAGCAACGAAGACCTGGTGCAGCCAAATAAAGAAGTATTTTTAAAAAAAGAAAAGATGATGCTAGATATGACTTCCACATATTAGTTCCCCTCCTCCCAGGGGAAGGCAGGAGATTTGGCTTGTACTTCTGGCTTTCCCTTTGCTATTGCAGGAGCCTTGGATAATGCATTTGGCCAGTCTGAGTGGGACTCAGTCTACTCATCTGTGAAATGGGACAACAGTTCCCATCATGAAGGTTGGGTGACATAATGAAATGAAAACGACCAGCTGTAACAGAACCAGCTGGACTGGAGGCAGGCAGACACAGCAGGAGGTCTGGAGGTGAGTAATCTGCACCTACTGCCTACTCTCTCTCTGATGATATTGAAGCAGAAAAGTCTGTGGATAAAGAAAGTTTGGGGGATGAGAGTCTGTGTGGGGGAGGGGTGGGGGGCACATACCTCTGTGAGCTCCACATTGGCCGGATCTCCCAGGATGGAGCCGTCAGGTTGCTTGTAGCCAGCATAGCGAATGAGTTGAGAGTTCCAAACGCGGAAATCGTGCTTGCCGTCGGTCCTCTGGGGAAATATGGTGATCGCAGATCTGTGGTAGAGAGAGGGGGACATGTGGCATCAGGGCTGGGCTTGCACTTTGGAGAAAGACTAAAAGAAGAGCTGCTCAGGTTCATGGTACACAAGGCTCAGGGTGGATCCCCATCTGCTCTGAGGCCCCCAGGGCCCATGGAGCAGCTGTTGGAAGGGGTAGGACTTTGTTCTGTCCCTCCACTGACCACTAGGTGAGGAAGGGGGGAGGAAGGGATGCCCCAGGCCAGCTCACAGAAGGAAACAGAATGTTTCTCCAACTGGAGTCTTTTGAACAATCTTGACTTGGGCCATTTTTCCAGAAAGTTCTTTTGCAGCAGGTAATCCTCAGGGGGAGAAAAAAATCACCAGGCTCTGTTTCCTGTTAAGAACTTACCACTGATTCCAAGTTTCAGTCTTTCTTTTACCACCATCATTATTGCCCCAGTTGCTCACCCCCTCTACAGATTTATGATTAATAGGAGATCAACTTTCATTTGTACTGATATTTATTGACTTAAAAAAAGTGAAGACTGCCCCTGGCCTCACTCATCCAAACAGGCAACTGTGAGACCCTGTATTATTATTAAACTGTAGAAAGATGTTGTTGCCTGCAGAAGGCACCTCACTGGAGCCCTGCCCTCTTTTTGTAAAAAGGGAGACCAGCAGTTTGGAGAGATGCTAATGATGCCTCATTCTCTTTGGCACCATCAGAAAGACTGAAAAATAAGGAAAGGAGAGTAACTTTTTCACAAAGTGATTCAATGTAGGGATTTCCCTGGTGGTCCAGTGGTTAGGGTTCCATGCACCCAAACCAGGGGGCCTGGATTCAATCCCTGGTCAGGGAACTAGATTCCACATGCCACAACTAAGAGCCAGTGCGGCCAAAAAAAAAAAAAAAAAGAGTGGTTCAGTGTTATCTCCTGTCATGAGCTCTTGTTACTTGGACTCATCAGTTCCATCCATGGACCAAACCCAAGGCTATGGAAGCCACATTCTGGCTTATGTCAACATGGGGGTGACATCGTAAGTCCAACTCCATGCTCACAGATCTGCTCCCATTCATATCTTGCCCTGGAGCCCTACTCCTGATGCCTGCCTTGGCTGGAGTCCATTTCTGCCGTCATGTACCTGATTTCAAGGCCCAACTCAAATCTGCCTTCTTCACACAGCATCACCTGTCTTATCTGGTTCCTGGCCTCCTTTGTGAGCACATTTAGGTCTCGCTGTCTGCCCAAGATCGTATCTCATTTAATTCTGCAGGGAGTGGTGTGTCACACCTTGGGGTGAATCTGGAATCCAGGCTGAAGGTGAAGTCACAGAGAGCCAAAGACGCTCTTAAGAATCTCTTGGCAAGGGTGCCATATTGGAGATGAACACAGACTGAGTCAAATTGTCAGCATTTCCCTCCAGTGTTAAAACACATGGCTGTTTGGCTGAGCAGCAGATAACACTTTGTGTTTGTTTACATATATTTTAAAAGTATGTTTAGAAACTTCAGAATCACATGCAGTGGGATGGGATGCTTACTCTGTGCAAGAATGAGCCCAGAGGAAGACACGGGACAGCTTTACACCTCCCATCTCCCAAGTCTCCTGAGCTTGTCACAAAACGCCAAGTCAAATGCCTGTCCTGTTTAAATTTCATCTCTCTCCTTCCCTTCCTCCCGCTTGCCTACCTTCATCTCTTATTTTATATTATTTCTATATATGGCATACATCCTCTTATGGCCTCTCATTGTGTCCAGATGTGTAGTTTAAAACTTGTTTAAAAAAATCAGCTGAATATTTCATCAATAGAAGAGCTCATTTAGACCTCAAAAAAAAATTGAAAAAAGTAAAGGTGCACTGCTTGGCCTCTGGTGACCCCTGTCCCAAATCACTCCATCACAGCATCATTTGAAAACTTTCAAAATAACTCACAAGCTCCTTGAGGCCAAGACCTTGGCTAGGCCATACTTTAACGCTTAGGATATGCAGTTGAGAGGGGTTCTTTGTTGTTCTCTGAGGGGCAAGGTCTTTTTGGAAAAATATCTGAATACTAATTTCCCCAGCAGGCCTTAAATGACAGGCTCTTTTCCCACTGGTGGGCTCAGGTGGCAAACACAATTTCCTTCTCAAGGAAGAGACATGCCCAAGAAAAGTCATGCTTAATGCCAATAAGCCACTTCACGGATGAGCTCAGCATAGCCCACGGGCTTGTGGGAATATCTTTGCAGTGGTCCTGTGCAGCCCCAAGGTGAGGCTGGTCCTCAGCTGCTGGGAACAGATGCAGGGGCAGGACCGAGGGAGTACGATTAACAAGTGTCACTGACTGTCTGCGGGGCCTCAGCTGTTCCTTCTCAGCTGCTCTTCTCCCAGCTGAGACTTGCCAGTGCGGAAGCCACCAGCTCACATCAGCGCCTGTCTGCTTTGGCCTGCACCCTGCAGCTTTGTTCTTGGTGGGAGGTAAGAGAAGTCCCAGATGTGGCTCAGCTTGGTGAAACCAGAAATGGTGATCCCCACGGCAAAGGGAAAAGATGTTGCGTTTGAAACCCAGGGGACCTCAGGGTGGCTCTAGGCAAAAGAGCAGGTGCTGGTGAAAGCGGGTCACCACCAGCAAGGGGGTTTTCCTCTTCCTGGGAATCTGAAACATCTCATCCTGCTTTCTCTAGAGGCTGATGTTAAACTGTGGGATGAACGTGACTGTGGTCGCTATACTTCTGCAAACCACAGGGGAGTCTGTGTCTCTCGGGAGAGAAGGCACGTGGAGGTCAGAATGAGGAGGCCAGGCCACCTCTCCCCATGTGGCACTGGCCCCGAGGAAAGGGGGGGAGCATTTTCATTGCAGGGGAGCCAACTCCAGACTCAAGGGTCAACACCGTGGGGACGTCAGATTCCCTCTCCCCAAGCTGGTTGGCTCACCTGAGGTTCCCTTTGTTGGTGGCATACTTGATGTGGTTACAGATGTAGTTGAACATCCCGTGAGCAGTGGTACAGTCTCGGGCATCAAACACCTGTAAGGGGTACATTGTGGGAACGACTGCCTCTTTTTTCCCCATTCAGCCCTGCCCAGGGCAGCCCTCTCATTGGAGAAGCACCCAGAGCCCACCCCAGCTGCTGCCCCACTGGGGTAGTGAGCATTTCATTACTGAGCCTCCACCCTGTGTTTTATAGTATCTTTTTATAATCTAATAACCATGGGCTAATCAAACCAGGAAAAAATCCCCTAAAAGTAGGCATGGGGTGTAAGTGAACATGGGAAAGGAATGCTGAGCAGAGGAGTGACTTGTAATGGACTGCCTATATCTCCTGTGAGGTTGCTAGGGATTAGGGACTTTGTCACTTTGCCAACAAAGGTCCGCATAGTCAAAGCTATGGCTTTTCCAGTAGTCATGTATGGGTGTGAGAGTTGAACCATAAGAAGGCTGAGGACTGAAGAATCAGTGCTTTGAAATTGTGGTGTTGGAGAAGACTCTTGAGAGTCCCTTGGACAGCAAGGAGATCAAACCAGTCAATCCTAAAAGAAATCAACCTTGAATATTCATTGGAAAGACTGATGCTGAAGCTGAAGCTTCAGTACTTTGGCTGCCTGATGAGAACAGATGACTCACTTGAAAAGATCCTGATGATGGGAAAGATTGAGGGCAAGAGGAGAAGAGGACAACAGAGGATGAGATGGTTGGATGGCATCATCTACTCAATGGACGTGAGTTTGAGCAAACTCTGGGAGGTAATGAAAGACGGGGAAGCCTGACGTGCTACAGTCCGTAGAGTCACAAAGAGTCAGTGACTGAACAACACAACAGGGACTTAAAAATAAAACAAACAAAAATCAGACAAACTCCCCCTGAGACTGATAACTAATCTATCTCCAACTTATAAATATTGCCCAAGGGAAAAAAATCATACCAGGAGATGCAGAATCTAATGCTTTCAGGGAGTAAGCAAATAACGTAAATAAGGAATGAGAGTAGGTGTAAGACAAAAGGGACGAATGGGGTCTGTGGTAACCTGGAGAGTATAAGCCCTACCTAGAGACGTCAAATTCAGGTTTTAAAAAAGATTGCTTTGGCTGAATAAAACATGACTACCGGCCAGATTTGGTCATGATCTGAGAATCTGGGACCCCATGATGACCATTTGATAGCTCGCCATGGTCACCACGGGCCCGCGGTAGAAGCTGACCCCTTTCAAAGCTCATTTCCCCCGCAGCAGCCCCCACCAGGGGGCTCTTCACAATATCTGGGCCTGACGGCCCACCTGCAGCTTGGACCACTGGATCCTGCCGACGCAGCGGGAGGCGTTCCGCCAGGCGTGCTTGGCCCCGTAGATGAGCTCTGTGTCCTTGAGCTGGTAGGTGCTGGCGGTTTCAATCTCTTTGTTCACCTCTTCCAGCCTCTCCATGTGGGCTTTGGAGCCGAACCTGAGGGAAGAGGGGAGGGACATGGGAGCATTACTTTCTCTGCTCAGTTAGAGGTTGGTGGAAGGAGTGAGCTATTACAGGAGGCCAGAAGCCACGGAGGGTCTGAATTGATATCCGGACATGATAGTTTGTGCATAAAGCAAAGGTTGGAAAATTCAAATGCCTCCACAGGTCCGAACATGGGACTGAATTGGCTGGGTGGGGACTGTGGCAAGCAGGCCAGCCCAAGACTAGTCCACAGAGGGCAGTCTCAGCCCTGTTCCAGACTGCTGCTGTCTGACCGGGGCCGGTACTGCCAGGTCTTATTTCAAGAGAAACTCTTGAAATAAAGGGAACTCTTCCCATTTCTAAACAAAATTTTAAATTGGTTTTTGATTAAATTCACTTTGAGAAAGTTAAAAAAATTCTTATGAAAAGTTGCAGGCTGACAAAAGGTATAGAAAATAATATAATGAACATTGATATCCCAAGCCTGAGAAATCATTAATAAACAAGAAAATATTTTATAATTCCTTGGGAACTACTCCTTACCATAGCTCACTTTCTTTCCAGAAGTGGCTGCTATTTTGAATGTGGCATTTAGCATTCTTTTGCTTTTGTCTAGATTTTTGACACTTGTGCATTGGGTTGACCAAAAAGTTTGTTCAGGTTTTCTGATGTTACGGGAAAATGAATGAACTTTCTGGTCAGCCCAATATATATCCCCCTAAATCATGTATAGTATTATGTTTTATGAATGGTGCTGTCCTAAATCTACCTTCTATAACAGATACACTGTATCTATTGAGTAGGATGTATCTATCTTTTCTTCCCTTTGCCAAAGGTATTTGTGAGCTTCATTTCCATGAACACACACAGCTTTCACTTGCTCATTTTCACAGCTGTATAATATTCCATCACAAAAACTGCCACAGTTCACTTACACATTCTCCTAACAATGGAGTTGAGGTCATTTCCAGCTGGCTGCTTAATTTCATTTTTTCCTAAAATAACTATGCTTCAGTGAACATTCTTATGCTGACCTTCTTGTGAACAAGTGTGAGAGTTTCTTGAGGGAATATACCCAGGTGTGAAATTGCTTGAAGAGTTTAAATTTAAGAGACACTCTTCAGGCTAAACAAAAACCGTGGGATTCTCCACAGGCAAGAGCATTGGAGTGGGTTGCCATTTCTTCTCCAGGGTATCTTCCTGACCCAGGTATTGAACCCAGGACTCCTGCATTTCAGACAGACTCTTTCCCATCTGAGTCACATCTGAGTTAGGGGAAGCCCTCACCAACATTTTAAGGTTCTGTAATTATTTGCTCTGCTCAATGAGGCGGGGTGAGGAGAGGGGCTTTATGACTGCCATTCTCTGGGAATCAGAACCACTGATGTTGACTCTCCCAATATTTAAAAAAAAAAATTTTTTTTTTTGGCTGCACCATGCATCATGTAAGATCTTAGTTGCCAACCAGGGAGCAAACCCATGTCCCTTACACTGGAGGCATAGAGTCATAACCACTGGGCCATCAGGGGAGACCCCTCCTAACTATTTTTTTATCCCATTTTGATCAAGAAGGGCTAATAGAGTGATTACAATAGCTCTTTTGAACAGATCTATGGGATGTTGATTGCAGAAAATAGCCCCAATTCTTTCCCTCCGTCTATTCATGCCTTTTACTATGTAACTTTACAGCAATTCTCATCAAGAGGTGAAGCCTCCTCCCTCTCCTTTTGTATCTGAGCTGGTCTGGGCCAACAGAAAATGGCAGAGGTGACATTGTGCCCATTCTGATTCTAGGCCTCAAGACATCTTACACGTTTCTGCTAATTCTCTCAGGACCCTCTGTCCAGTGCATGGAGGAGACCAAGCTACCTTACTGGAGGCTGAGAGGCCCCATGGAACAGAGCTAACTTATCCCAGCCAAGGCCCTCCTAGCCTAGCCTGCCCAGAGCTGACCCCTCAGATAATCGCAGAAGCATGAGATCAGCAGAAGCATGAGAACCACCCTGCCAATCTGTAGGTCTTGGAAAATAATAGTAGTAGTTGCTTTAGGTCACTAATTTTGGGGGTGGTTTCTTACACTGTGATAGCTAACTAATACAGCATTCCTCCAAGTGTTAGTTGCTTAGTCATGCCCGACTCTTTGCGACCCCATGGACTACAGCCCACCAGGCTCCTCTGTCCATGGGATTTCCCAGGCAAGAATACTGGAGTGGGTTGCCATTTCCTTCTCCAGGAGATCTTCCCAACCCAGGGATAGAACCTGGGTTTCCTGCACTGGAGGCAGATTCTTTACCGACTGAGCTATGAGGGAAGCCCACTTTCTACAATATAAAGAAACTGATTGATTGATTGACTTTAAAATACATAAAAATTTAGAGGACAGATTGATAACTAAGAAGAGTTTGTTCAAAACTCCATCAGTGGTTGGATTGTGAGATGTAAAAAGAATGTACTTAGGAGCAGCAATCCCCTTTTGGGTACAGGGAACAGAAATAACTAGTATTTGCACAGGTAAGTATCCACCAGTGGTTCTCAAACAGGGATGGATTTCCCACCCAGGGGGCATCTAGTAATATCTGGAGATAGATTTGGTTGTCACAACCGGCATCTGGTGGGCACAGGTCAGGGGTGATGCTCAACATTCCACGATGCACAGGATGGTCCCCACAATGAGAATTATCCTGTCCCATGCGTGGATATTGCTGGGGTTGAGAAAAGCCTGGTCTCCCGCTGTTCTGGGATACTCACCAACGTGCTCTTGAGGTGGAGGGTGTCAGAGAGAACCACGTCGGTCTCCCAGTTCTTGACTTTGAGGAAGCGAGGGCACTTGGAGGGGCTGCCATTCTTCGTGGGAGACTGTTTTCCCGAGGCAGGGGGCTGGAGGAGAGAATGAAGATGGCATATTAGGCACTGGAAGATTGTCTCCACTGGGGTGGGAAGAGGTGGTGTTCTTCCTGGAATCTGCCCCTAGTCACCACCTGTCTGTGACTCTCTGGGGTGGACACATGCAAGGTGACTGGGACCTGGTCCCTCTCCTTATACAGAAGGAGGTGCCATGGAAGAAGGTCTCAGGGTCTGTCCTGGGGAGAGGGGTCAGGAGCTCAAAAGCTGGTCTCTCTGGCCTCTAGTGCAGGGTCTGGCACATAGCTGGGACTCAGTGAATGCTTGCTGAATGAATAAGTGACTGAAAGAACACTGACAGTCTCTGCAAATGGTAACAGCCCTCAGGGCTGAGGAATCAAACCTGAGGTTGGGTCAAGTTACTTGGATTTCTGGGCCGTCCTGCCATAGGTGAGTCCAAACTCACCATTTGGGGCAAATACTGGGAAAACAAGAAGTTTAAGTGAGAAAGGTTTGAAGCATAGCATGCTCAGCCATGTCTGACTCTTGTGACCCCATGGCCTGTCCTGCCAGGCTCCTCTGTCCATGGGATTCTCCAGGCAAGCATACTGGAGTGGGTAGCCATTCCCTTCTCCAGGGGATCTTCCTGACAGGGATTGAACTCTGGTTGCCTGCATTGGCAGGTGAATTCTTTACCACTGCACCACCTGGAAAGCCCTGGAAGCATAGAATACCTTCCTCCAATTTCAGGTTTCTGTTTTTCAAAAAGGCCAAGCATGTCCCTGCCTCAGGGCCTTTGCACATACTATCCTCGCCATCGTGCACATCGTCAGTCCCCCATTTGTCTTCACCTCTGTAAGCAAACTGCCCAGTAGGTGAGAGGGGAGAAGCCTGGCTGACACATGTTGCCCATCCATTTTAAGCCTCACTGATAAGGATCACTTTCTGTTCTTAGGTATTTCTGAGTGGGCGTTTACCAGCCTGGAGAGAGGTGTGCCTGTGCATTAGACAGGCATCAGCAGTTCTAAGGGAGAGGCATCAGGTATACCCTGATGCAACAGCTGAGCAAGGGAGGGGACGGGATGAAACAGTGTTGAGTGACACTCATGCCAAAGAGTAGCGCAGTGGGCAGTGACCTAGAGCCAGGGGTATTCACACATTCAAATTGTATTTCTTGAGCATCTACTATGTGCCAGGCACTGCTAAGTGCTGCGGACACCGAGGTGAACAAGGCAGTCAGGATCCCCGTTCTTCTGAAGCACTGTTTTTGGAGAAGTGGAGATAAATAATAAGTAAACTAATACATGGATAATATAATTTAAGGAGGTAATAAGAATATAATATAGAGAGAAGTAATGGTGACAAAGTGAAGTGGGGGAAAGGCACATGCAAAGGCCCTGAGCCAGGGATGAGCTTGTAAGTGTAAAGGACCAGCAAGGAGGCCAGTGCGGCCGGGGTGTTTGAGTGTGAATGAATACAAAGGAGATGAAGTCAGAAAGGGGGCAGGATCCACATCCCATCTGCATGGAGGTGCTCAGGCTGGCGAGAGAGCTATGAATTAGGACTGAATTGGGTTACGTCTGGGACGGAACTCAGAGAGAACCCTGAAGGAGAACTACTGAAAACTAACATCCACTGAACACTTGCTATGTGCCAAGCAGCAACCTTATCATCCCCATTTCACAGATGAGGAAACTGAGGCACAGAGAAGTTAACTAAGTTGAACAAGATGGCAGAACTAAAAAACTGGAGCCAGGAGTCAAATCCTGGCAGTCTGGCTTTCAAACCATGCCCTCCACTGTTTGACCACTCTGCCTCTTGGCCATCATGTACAATTCACTCACTCACTCATTCATTCATTCATTTATTCACCCAGCACAGGTTTACTGAGTATCTCCTATGTTCCAGGCAAGTCAGTAAGGGCAAGGGCTATAGTAACAAACACAACAGACATGATCTGTGCCCTCATGGAGTTTATGTAGCCCAATGGGGATGATGATTAAATGAACTATTATAATTGAATGAAATGAGTATCATAACATGGGATGTTGGCAGTGTGCAGGGGACTGTGAAGCACACAGAAGGGGCATCTGACCAGGGTCATTTGACTTCTAAGTCAAGACCTGTTAGTCAGGTAAAGAAGAGGGAGCAGAGTCTTGCTGGTAGAGAAGTGAGAGGCATAGCCACCTTTCTGCAAGTGGAGCTGTATGCTAAAGCATCCATGCCACCATGTTGGATTTTGGGGAATGGGAGGCAAGTGACAGCATGCCACCATTAAAGACTGCCAGCACAGAGCAGGGAGTGAGAACAAAGAACAAAAGGAAGGTCCTATGACTCATGATCTTCCAGGCCTTGTTGTCCCCAGTGGCTCTCATCTCAGCACTGGGTACCAGCATCCACCCACCACCTGTGCATGCCACAGGAAGGAACTGTCCTGAACATCATCTTCTTTATCCCCCACACCCAGACGACCCCTGACTCCCATCCATTTAGCCTTCTAAATGGCTCCAGAATCCTCATTCTCTCCATCTACTGTGTAGCCCTCTATCCAAGCTTCCACCATCTTTCATTTGGGTGATTGCAACAGTCTTCTAGATGTTAGCCACTCCTCATCATTGTTGGTGTCATTATTCTACTACTAGTACAACTTGCAGTCCTATTACAACCGTGCTTGCGTGCTAAGTCACTTCAGTCGTGTCCAATTCTTTGCAGCCCCCATGGACTACAGCCCACAAGACTCCTCTGTCCATGGGGACTCTCCAGGCCAGAATACTGGAGTGGGTTGCCACGCCTTCCTCCAGGGCATCTTCCCGACCCAGGGATTGAACCCACGTCTCTTAGGTCTCCTGCATTGGCAGGTGGGTTCTTTACCGCTAGTGCCACCTGGGAAGCCTTGTTACAACTACTGCTTTAAGTGTTACTACTGCACTATCACCCTGGGAGCAGGAGAAGGATTTGAATGAATTCTGCCCTCCATTCCCTATCTGCCCTTCTATCCCACTAAACTCTTAAGTTCTTTTACTTATGTCCCCACATGAAGCCATGTACAGACGACTTTACTTCCTTTGAAGGCCTGTCTAGACATCCTGAACTTCTTTATTTAGGATTCTATTTCTACTCCTGTCTCTTCTAGCAGATGTCCAGGTGATGGAGGTTGCCTCTAGGTGGGCCTTTGTGGTGACAAGTTCCTCTGATCATGCCGGCAATCTGCATCCCTAGGAAAATAAAATCCTAACTTGTCCATATGGGAGGCACTGTAGCCATCCTTTCTAAATACTGGGCATCACTTAGCCAGTAAAGAAACTCTCTCTTGACACCCCAGAGTTTGAGGAGCAGCTGCAGTCCCAGAGTAGGGATAACAGATGTGGTATTGGCATTTGGGGTCAGGCCCAGGACCTGGAGGTGACAGAGGGGCAGAGGGCAGGGGTGGGGGGACCCTGACAAGGTGGGAGGGAGCCGGAAGTCTTCACAGGCAGGGCAGATGGAGCGAGATACAGGCAATCAAAGAGGCCATCTGTTGAGGGTCCAGATGTGCGAGGGGTGGTCATTACGAGAGAACTAATTGGGGGCCCAGGCATGAGCCATGCCACTCTCCACCCCAGGCTGTGCGAAGGGCACACTTGAAACCAGGCATTAGAAGGCCTCTGGCAGGGCTGTTGTACTTGGGTTTTGATGTTTTAATTAGCCAGCAGTAATATTAGATGACTCAGGAGGGGACAAACGGGGAGATTAATATAGCAGTCGGGGGCCTGGCGTGGGGGATGCAAATGACTTTTCTGAGTGGGGACTGAAGTGCTTGGTCTAAAAACTCAGGATAGTGGCACTCGTGGGTTGTTAAGCTGGCAACACGGCACAAGCGGGCTTGGGAACAGAGTGTTTTCTTCCCTAGATTTGTGTTCAGGGTAGACAATAGAAACTTTTCAGGTGGTGGGAGACACTGACTCGACTTCCGTGAGTTCAACAGGAGGACTCCTTGGTGCCTGCTTCTAAATTTGCAAAGTAGGCTCTGAGCTCCTGGGAGTTTCAAAGGCTTTGTCAACACCTCTTCACTCTGGGAGTCTGTAGAGAGGCCCTGAGGAAATGGAAGGAAATGATCTTGCAGCCCAAGAGGAGACAGCAGGTGAGGTGTTGGCAGCCTCGGGCTCTGAGCCAGGAATTCAGCTTGTAGGACCCCTGGCAACTTGACTTCCACACCCCCTCCACACCCCTTCCTTCTCTCTTTCAGCAAACACACACTGGGTGCCTGCCGCGTGCTATGGACTTGTGCTCGAGGCTCTAGCGCGATCCCCACTCTCTTGGCAGCAGCATCTTACGGCGGCATGCTCTGAAGCAGGGGTTTGCAGACGGGGGCCCATGGGCCACATCTGGTCTACCCTCTCTTTTGGTATAGCCCATGGGCTAAGAACGGTTTTCCCATTTTAAACTTGTTGAATAAAACAGTCAAAAGAAGGATAATGCTCCACGACATGTGAAAGTTATAGGATGCTTGAATTTCAGTGTCTGTAAGTAAAGTTTTATTGGCACCCAGCTACCGTCATTTATTTCCATATTGTCTATGGCTGCTCTTGAGATACAGTGGCAGAGTGGGGGTAGTTGAGATGGAGATTCAGATGGAATGGCTCACAAAGTCATATATATTTCCTACTGGCTCCTTTCCAGGAAAACTTTGCAGACTTCTGACCAAAAGGATTGAATTCCAGTGGCTGAAAGCTAACCTATCTTACTTAAGTCTCCATTAACTTAGACATTAGTTATCTGTTCTATATATGTGAAAGTGAAAGTGTTAGTTACTCAGTGGTGTCTGACTCTTTGCACCCCCATGGACAGAGGAGCCTGGCAGGCTACAGTCCATGGGATTTTCCAGGCAAAAATACTGGNTGTATTGGAGAAGGAAATGGCACCCCACTCCAGTGTTCTTGCCTGGAGAATCCTAGGGACGGAGGAGCCTGGTGGGCTGCTGTCTATGGGGTCACATAGAGTCAGACACGACTGAATTGACTTAGCAGCAGCAGCAGCCGTGCCAAGCACACACGACC